ATTGTGCAGCTGCAGAACTGCCCACCCCATCCCCTCAAAGAAAAGAGGGAACCTGAACTGCAAGAGAGTGGCAAGAGCTCCATGCATTTATGTTGAACCAAAAATGCAGCACCCCTGACTTCTCCCCATCTACATTCCCACAGAAGACTAGCCCCATCCTTTTTCCCCTTTAGAAAATAATAAGGATCTCACCTTGTCATCATGAACTGCTATATATTCATGAGTCTCAAAGTTGCATACAACTGGACAGGTGATAATCTGCCCGTGTTTAGCAGACCAACAGCCCAGTGGCTTCTGATCGGAGACCTGGCAGAGTCAGAACAAAGACACTATGATTAAAATTTATTGTGGTACACCCTGGGGATTCTCCTCACAACAGCAAGAAAATGCAAGGCAGCCACACCTGAACTGAACGAGCATATTAAAGCACAGAACTGCTATACTCAGAACACCTGCTTGAGCATCCCTGTTCTTGATTTTGATACCAAAAATCTCAGAATAACATGAAAGAACTCTACATTAATTTGAACTATTTCTTTTCACATAAGAAATCCGTTTGAGCTGTAACAGTCACATGGGTTTACGCCATGAAACACAGGTATGAGGCACAGCTTTTCAAAAGTGAAAACACTACTCTTTATCACTTAAGTCAGTTACTTTTACTCACTAATACAATCAAGCACAGAACCACACTTTTTCCTCTTCCAATTTCAATATAAGACCAAGAGCAATGAATTTCACTGTCTAAACTTACGTTAAATATGACTTACATCTTGCTGCTAGAGGGTACTCAATCCACTCTCCTCCACCTGCAGCCACACTGGGCAAGTTTACCAACTTATTTATGTTCTCAGTATGGTCTTGCCAGTGGGACTGAACAACCGATAAGGAGACTGTATCATGAAACCACTAAGATACAGTCCCTAGTGACCTGAATGTGAAAGCCAAATGTTTTGCTTAAGTGTTATTATGGTCTACTGAAATAAATGTTAAAAGACACCAGAGCATACTTCTGGTTTCAAATTGCAAACTAAAATCTTTCATCCTCCGACCAACAGGAAGGTGGCTGACAGAAATCTGACAGCCGGACAAAACGCATGTTACCCTGGCTACTGGGGAACAACGTCACGTACCCTGCTGCTTCGGGACGGGAGCATTTCTTGGAGTCGAGAGAGAGAATCGGCAAAAGGAGAAATGCACGAGCAACAGCCCAGGCTGACACCTGCTCCACTGGCGGACAGGCCGGGGAACAGCAGAGGTGAGCTGAGCAGGGCATAGCAGGGAGAGATGGACAGAAGTGGGACAGGGCCCGGCCCGGCCCCGCTCCCCGACCCCAGGGCGCAAGCTGAAGCCGCGCACCAAGTCCCCGCTGCTTCGGCTGCGGGATAGCGGGGAGCGGGCGCCCGGTGACAGGCCGGCCGGGGCAGGAGAGAAAGCGGCTCCGAGGCCCAGCCCGGAGACCCTCCAACAGGCCGGGGCTGCCCGGCAGCGGCAGCAACACCTCCCGAGCGGCCGGGGCCGGGCGGTTACCTTGAACAGCGTGGCCGTCCTGCCGCGGTCGGTGAGCAGGACGTGGTCGCGGTCGGGGCCCGGCTCCAGCGCCAGGAGACCGCCATCGAGGCCGACACCGCTGCTGGGACCCAAACCGCACAGCGTGAAGCTCTCGCATAAGGCCGCCATGTTCGCGAGCCTCCACCTCTCGCGACACATGGCATGGCGCATGCGCCGCTGCCCGAGGTGGCGAGTGGTGGCGGAAACGGGCGAGGCCGTTCGGGGGTTTCCGGATGCTGAGCCCGCGTGAGGGTCTGTTGGCGTCGGCGACGGGAGAACTTTGGGTCGCGGCTTGGTTCACTGTTGTGCGGCCGTGCTCGGCCAGATCGCGACTGAGAGTCGTGCCACTTACTCTGAGGGTGTCGGGAGGCTTTGCCAGCTGATACTTGCAAAGGACGTACAGACACAGTGCGGTCTCATTGCTTTTTTGTTAAATCATAGAGTCACAGAACGGCTTGGGTTGGAAAGGACCTTAAAGCTCATCCAGCTCCAACCCCTGCCACGGGCAGGGACACCTTCCACTAGAGCACCTTGCTCCAAGCCCCGTCCAGCCTGGCCTTGAGCACTGCCAGGGATGGGGCAGCCACAGTTTGATTAAGAGGCATTCATTTTAGAACACCCCCAACAGCAGTTTGGATTTCCCCTGTTCAGTTGTTTCCAGGGCATTTTATGCATGGCCATTTCCATTTCCCTACAGTGTAAAGGTGTCATTTATAGGCAGATTAGCATGAGGACATCAGATGCAAGGCTTCTGTAGGTTTGCATCCACACAGTAAAACACTGGTGGTTTTGAGACTAATTATGTGTATTCTTGCCCCATGAGAGGCCTCATGTATGAAAAGAATACAGGGTGGCGTTTTTCTCCCTGCAACAGTGTAACCCAACTCCACCAATTTTAACAGCAGCAGGTTCAGGTTTTTAACCAATTTGTAATGTATATTCATGCATTCATATTTCTTTGTGCTCAAATTTTAATGAAGCTGTAGCAAGAAAAGCCTGAAGTGTAAAAAACATCAAGTCAAACCAAAAGAACAACAGAACAGGTTGTGCCCCACCATTAGATGCATTACTGGGAACACCTCTTGCCAGCACTGTGACTCTGGGGTCTTGTGGAGGATTCAGCCACAGTTTTTCCTCATGGATTCAGTCACAGCCTCTCATTGGTGGCAAAGGCTTGGGCAGAGTCCAATGACAACAGGGCAGAGCCCTGCACCCTCACCTCAAAAGGGTCTCCATGCACTTAAGCCATCTGAGAAGCTGTTACTGCAGGCTCAAAGCCACAGAGGACTGAGTGGTTTCTACCTTAAAACACTTTCTGTGCCCATATTTGTTCCTTGTGCCTCGCCCTACACTGTTGTGGAGCATTTCTGTACTGAATATGCGAGTACCGTTCCTCTGGTGCAGAGAAAGCTTCGTTTCTATGGAGTAAGCCTTTAATTAACAGCTTGAAGAATCCTTGAACATGCAAAATTGCTGTTGACTAAAATTAAATGACTTGTCTACAAGTCTGAGAGGTTTTGAATGTTCTCTGTTCCAGTATGTATGGCAACACTGGGCTGCCAAATCCTGCATAGAGAAATAGATTCCCTACTGAAAAACTTCCTGGTCGGCCAAATGTTCATTTAAAAATGAATGGGTGACACCAGAGTGACAGGACACCTGGCCAGATAACATCTTTAAAAAGCTGAGGCACAACAAAACCTACTTAAAGTGGTTTAAATTTTCCTTACAAATCCAGTTCTTTGTGCTGTTTGATTTTGAGGAACTGACTTGCAGAGCTGGGGGTAGAAATGTTACTGGATATGTTCCTTGCTAGAGGAGACCTAAAGAAAGAAAATAGCCGCAACTGTAAAGAATAACTGTTGGTAGTTTATTTACAACAAAATGCAAGGAAAAAATACAATATTAAAAATAATAAATAACTTGGAAAAATCAGAAACTAAATGATATGAGTGAGAAATATGACAATCAAATTCTCCTGCTGAGCCTTGCATTATTTAACATGCAGAGCGTTTCAAAACTTGGTCCTTCTTTGATGGTGGCAATGTATTGACTAATGCAGCCACCATAGCTCTAAATAAAAGAAATTCATTACTAGACATTGAATCTCAGGTGGAATTATCACAGAAACGAAATAAACCAATGAAACCTGTTTCAGTGACAGCACAAAACTACTGGAGATTGTAAGTCAATGACCATGCTGTTCCTATAAAGAAAACATTGTTAGACTTATTTAGCAATTTCAAGTTACACATATAAACCCAAGACCAAACAATAGAAACAGAAAAGCTCCTATTGACAAGATCATGAATTCTCTCTTACTGCACTCACTAATTCATAAAAAGCATATACATTTGCCTTGTTTCAAAGGATAGCAGGTTGGTTTAAAGTTACAGTGCAGCAAGCTTCAAAGCAGTTTTAACAAAATACAGCGGTCTGGTTACAAACTGAAACTCAAGGAACAAATATTTCCATTTCAAAATCTCTACAGCAGCAATTACTGCAAACTGGCTACTAGATGGTCACAAAATCACCTTCCAGAATAATAAAAAAAGCTAAAGAATAAGGTCAAATAGTTTCTTTCCCTAGGGTTTATCCAGGCATTTACAAAATTAACCATTACATTCATAAGAAATCCTCATAAGTAGGTGCTTCAGGAATGTGCTGCTCCTCATAGCCTTCATGGATACCTCCCTTTTTTTGGATCTACCCCTCTAAAGACAGGAATGAATTGTCAGTTATTTTGTAATGATTGTTCCATATGAAATACATAAAAACAAAGCTGGGAGGAGGTTTTAACAGAAACTCAAACAAACTCATCTTGTTATTTGCTCCAAAATGCATTCTCCTGAATTCCCCTCAAGCCCTAGCAGAGCTGCATCATGTAAGTCTTCCATCACTGTGGTAGAGAACAGGAACAGGCTATTGTGCCTATTCAGCTTTGCCCTAGAGCTCCATACTCTAAGGATGGACTCACTAAATAATCACATAATTTACTTTCACAAAACAAGTGATGAACACCTGCAAAATGCTATTTTTCTCCTAATAAACATGCTTGAAAATACAACAGAAAAAATCAGTAATGAAAACCATCCCTTTGCCTGAAGATAAACACTTTAGTATTCAGACCTTTCTTTTTGCTTAGTTTTGTGTGGGTTTGAGTGTTTGCTGGGAATATTCTAGAAAAAGTTGTCCTACCTTAAGAAAGAAAGAAAGAACAACCAAACAGAAAAGGATATTTAAAGATCCTATGGACCAAACAGGTCATGACTGGCAAGGAAAGCAAAGCAGAACACAGCAGAGGGTACTTACACAGGCAGTGAAAAGCCTGGAGTGTTTCTTATCCAGGGCAACAGAACATTAGAGATCCTTTTATTTGCCTTCATTAGGAAGCCCAAAGGAGGCAAAGTGGCTGATCGTGATCCTCGTGGTGGCCAACAGTGAATTCAGGCTATTGGGTCAGTGAAGTCTCCTCAACAGCAGCGCTGCAGGAAGAAGGGCTGCAGCAGCAGCACAGAGACATAGCACTGAGCATCCTGTCGTTCTCCTACATCTGTGTCATACAGCTCTTAAGATGTGTCCTATACAGGTATGTTCAGAATTTTCATACATGCCCTATCCCCAAACCAAATTAATGTGATAATCGATATATCCACAAGGGATTGGAAATCAATCTGTTAAATATGAGTAAAGGTACGACTGCTTTTGTCTAATCATCTCTGTAAAACTCAAATGCCAAAACTTACATAGAAACATTTATCTGTAAGCACAGGGACATTATGGCTTTCTTTGACAAAGAAAAAAAATCACTGAAAACCAGACTTTCTGGCGGAGCAGACCTAAGGTATTTCTATATAGGTCAAATTCAGGAAATAAAACCCCAACCAAACAATGCTTGATGTTTTCAAAGGTCTCCTTTCTCTGCCAATGTTCCAATCTTGCTACTAAATAAATAATAATGAGATTAGACCAATTATAATCATGAATATATAATCTGTACACTCTTGAAGCTGAAATCATAAACTAATGTAGGAAAGTTTTGCTTGCATTATTACAGCAGCTTCTTTTTAAGCAAAAAAAGCATCACTCATTAGTTTACTAATCACACAGAATTAGTAGCTCTGAGAAGTGAAGCAGAACATGGACAGTAAGTGGGAGAATGCAGGTAGTCAGACCACAGCTAACCTATGAAGGGCTCTCGGATTTTGCTACCTACAGGATTTTAACTATCAAACAAATATACACTTGTCAGTGCAGGTTGGCAGTGGAATTCTGCTGCTACTAAAACTACGCTATAAATATCACACACTCAACATAACTTTGTAGATTGACAGCCATTGAGAAGTTCAGTGCATTTAAGCCAGTCAAATCACTGCCTTGTGCTGAGAAAACAGCACAAAGGTCCTGCCTGGGTAAAAGGCCATCCCCAGCCAACACTCAGTGATAGTTCAGCTCTGGAGGACTCTCTTTTTTCTAACCCATGTCCCATGTCATTGGTAGCACAAAGTATCACCCACTTTGATTGTATGATTCAGGCAATGGCTGTCATTCACTGGAATTGAACAGAGCCTTACTTAACTTCTGCTACAGCTAACCAGAATGATGGGTACTGGCAGCATTCATTAAACAGCAACTTGGATGAAAGGGACCAAAGTACCCCAAATGGGGGCCAGAAAGGAAGGTCTCTCACTGAGCCTAGGAGAAGACCATTTATTTTTCTCCTTCCACAGTCTTCTCCACTGGAAACATCTTTTCTACATTTTAATTCCTGAGACTTGAAGACCAGGAAGGGTACTTCTGTTTCCTTAATGTCACCCTACACAGAAGTGAGCAGCCCCACAATTCATTTGCTTTTCAAAGACTGATGTTCACCCCTCCCCCTGGATGATGACAAAGCCTGGGAACAGCTTTCTGTTGGCTGTTTAGGAAAGATGGGAGGCAGAAAAGAAAAAGGAGTCTCATGTTTTCTTTCCTTTACATTCAAGGTCTTAACAGCGTAACTACCACTTATCTTCCAGTGAGGAAAAGACAGAATTCATTGGGTTTGCTTCTCAACTGGCTCAATTTAGCTGCTTTTTTTGCAATCTTACACATGGAACACAACTGATGAATGCCAAGAGGGGTTTAAAAGATCACAAAAGGACAGGGGAGAGCTATTAAAATACATTATCTACAAGAAATAGGTGGTTTCTTTTACAAATTATGTGCAAGATAGAAATAGTTCAATGGCCTCAAAGTCAGTATAATTAATTACAATTGGGGCTTCAATACAGTGATATTTTAGGTTTGAAAAATTTTCTTTGTTAACTAGGCCCCAAATCCTGAGTCATATTAAGCAAAATGTGAATCTTGAGTGATTGGTGTTGGTGTTCAAGTGCAATGAGTTACAGGTCAAAGGTTTATGAATACACCAAAGCCTGAGAGCAGGAAGGATTTTAAAATCAGCTATCAAAGAAGAAAATGGGAGGGTTTTTTTTCCTGCTAACCCTGCATTCGAGTTGGCACTAATTTGCCACAGAAGTCCTTGGCAGCTTTACTAAATATCTACTCCTAATTGTAAATGCTATGACCTAGATGAGGATTTGCAGGTAGAATACTGCTACAGAAAGATTTCTTTTAGTTTACAGCGTTCCCCTCAGACTATGTCACTGTATGTCAGGACGATGCACCAGATGGCTTGAAGCACTACTTTAGGAATATATAGACTACGTTCTCGTGCATGCACTTCTCTGAAGGTTTTAAGGATCAAGTCTGAGGAAAGAAGTAATCTTTCCACACCAGAAAGATTATTTTAAGCAAAAAAAAAAGAAACAACAAACCACCATGACCTTTGTAGAAACTGAGTTACATCACTCTTGCTGTGGTAGACATGGCTTATCAGAAGGAAACATGCTAGGTGAATTTAAAGGTTCTTTTTCGCTGGGTCTGGAAGAGTGAGTGTTTCTGGAGCAGACTTTTTCCGAGGCCGCTCTCTGGAAACTGTTAGGAATTCAGGAGCATCTGTGGAGAGAGGAGTTGATGGAGCACTAGATGGAGCACTGCGGGTTGAAGAAGGCATGGAAGTGTTAGAGATAGATATTGCAGGTGGGAAAATCCCAATCTTCTTGTTGGTGGCTTCCTGAGTTGCTCGTTCAAACTCTCGGACTTCATCCATTGTCATGTCTTCAACAAGAAGGAAAGAAAAACAAAGACATATTAGAATAATCTCAAATGATTGTTTCATTAACTCAGTTAAATTACTGCCATCCAAACTGTCATCAGGGAATGACTGCTTATCATGCATATAATTACACGATTCTCCACATGAATCCTTCCTATGGTAACACATTGATCAGAGCACAATCAGTGGCAAATGTAAAGGAAACAAAGTTAAGTGCATTAATCACATACTAATGGCTCTCCTTCTACCTGGGTCTGAACTGAATAAAGATTGCTACCTCTGTAATTGCTGGAAAACTCAAGCTATTTCACAGGCAGTTAGAGAATCCATTTAGATACACAGTCAGCAAGTAGAATTTTTCAGAACTTCCAACAAAATAAAACTGATCAGGGTTTTGTTCTTTTCATTTAAATGATGAGCATGAATGGGTAAAGGGTTGTCATCGGGGTGTTCATCTGCTGTACTTCCCAAGGGAGGAAAACTTCTCTCTCCCCCCATGCGCAGGTTCCACTGACTTCCAGCTGCATGCATATAGCTGAGGCTTGTTTGCTTTTCTACTAACAAAACCTAAATAATTCCCTCACACTTGATAAAGCCAAAACATGCTTGCCAACTTTTCCATCCAGAACCTGTACTTAAACATATATGGCCAACTAACAAATCCACCGCTTAACTGCCTGCAAGATAGAGGCAAGATGAGATATGAGGTTAAAGCCACTTTGCAAGAGGAAGTCTTGTCATTGATACCGAGAAAACTCCAGGAACAAACTGTCACGCAGGTGACAAAGGTGTCACAGTGCTGTGGAAACCCACAAGAGGGCAGAGCGCTCCCAGCATGGATGGGCTCTGAGCTGAGCCCTGCAAAACTTCGGGAAAATCCCAGACGAATGACATCTGGTATAAACCTGAAACCTGCTGCTTCACGTCTACCCTGCCTGCAAGGTGTCCACTGAGCCAACTGAAATTAATTTGAGGTTTTTCACTGACCATCATATTAAATTTGTACATTTGAAGTATTTCATTAAATCATTTTAGAGATTTTTTTTTTCTTGTTTATTTTTTACCTCTGAAAGCTCCAAAACCCAGAAACAACCCCATTAGCATTTCAATCAGTTAAAAGTTCTAAGCCACAGGCCTGGCAATGGTGCTTAACATATATATGCCAAAATCCTATACTTTCCATACATCCACACTTTAATATTAGCCAGCTGCATGCATCTGTAGCCTTGGCTGCAAATGTTCTATAGAAACAGCTTTATGTTGCATTATAAGATCATACTAATCAATAAAAGCACGCATACTGCCAGTTGCCTTCTCTCTTCCCTGCAGACAACATTCCAGGGACCTTTCCAGCCTACGTTGCCAGTTATTAGGTGGGAGGATGAAGCTATTTTCAAATCTGAGGTAAGCGGTTGAAATAAACAGATGGTCTCAAGAGTATCTGTACCTACTTGTGTTGGAGATAGATTTCAACCTGTTTGCCTGATACACATTTTGTTTCACACCCTGTACCAATGTGTGTAGTGTTTCTGAACTCAAAGGGTTTTAAAGCACCCTCACATCAAAGGGAGCCCATCCATTCATTTCAGCTGTTTTCGATCCAGGACTTCTGTACAGCCTGAAATAAAAGCTGTCTTGGACAAGTGAACAAGGTAAGGAAGATTTCTCAGTCTACCTGCCATTTAAGTGAAGCCTGATTAAAGTCTTGCTAAGTGGCAGCCTGCAAGACTGTTCACTGTAAATTCAGACATGAAATACTGTCCCTTCAGCTGGCATTTGCTTTTTAGCGTATACTTGCTTTAAATTCCCTTCTGTTCTGACATCCAGTCAAGGAAAACAAGACTTTACCATGAGCTAAGAAGGCTCAGACTTTCTTTTTCTTTTCATTAACGACAAACTCTGTTCTGACCTCAATGGCACCTTTCCCACATGGGAACTAAGGATGAACGTCAGACTTCATTCAACGCCAAATTCTGAAGTGTAGAGCCAAAGGCAGAACCGATTCTCAATTTACTGCTCAGCTAAGGAGTTAACTTGATGTTCACAGAACTGCAGCATTTCAAACACAAAAATTACCTTCTGGTTTCCACTTGGACAACATTTTCTCCAGCTGGTGAGCATTTTTACTGAGCAAAAACAAAGGAAAGACTTTAAGCCCTTCAGGCCTTGCCCCACACTTGTAACATGAGTAAAACCATCACTGAGTTCTACAGCGCAGTTAGTAGAAATGAAGGAATAATAACATTTCAAAAGCAAGTATCACTCATGTCACTTATTTTTTCTATTTGTAATAGCAATAATTTCTGATTCTAGGCTGCTGCTTGAGGTGCCCAAATTATGAATTTCAATACTTAATGAATTTTCCAGAATCTGAATCAAAGAACCTACATAGAAACCGGCCCTTCTCCACAAACTGCTGTTACATACTGCTGAAAAAGATCTTAATCAATGACAACTTTAAAAGTAGTTTGACAACAGAGAAAAATTCATTAGCTTTTTTTTCCCTAGTAAAGCAAATCATTTTGTCAGTTCCATAGAAATTTTCCACTCCCCATGTTCCTGGCTTTTTGACTGAAGCAATCTGAACTCCTGCATTTTATAACTATTCAAATAGTAGAAAATAAAACTTGTCTTTAACTTCCTCTTCGTGCATCCAATGGAAATTTAAGCATTGTGTTTTCCTGGAAATCCACTTCATGGAGAAAGATTCTCTTCCTACTGAAGCAAAACCTCCCCCAGATTCCACTGACTGGTCAGCAAGATCAGACGGTTGCTCTGATCTGTGCAGGTGTATTAGCTGAGGATGGGCAATATGTTTTAAAAACGGACATACTCTTGCTTTGGCATGGCTCTCTATTTCATCCACAGTAGATGAATGTTGGTTGCAAACTTTAATGTTGGTTTTTTCATGCATGTTTTTCTCGTATTCTCGAACATCATCCATAGTCATATCTGTAAAAAGTTCAAAATTGTTGGCATTTTCCATTGATTCAGTGCAAACTTCATTTTTTTTTCTTAAGGAGAAGGTTCTAGGAATAGTCTTTGAGCAGAAGCCAAAAACGGATTAAAAAAAAAGAGCATGGAGCAACTAGCTTTATGAAAATTGACTCATAAAGGTAGTTATATCAGCCAAGGAAGGTATAAGAAGGTTAAGTCAAAGGGAGTCAGAGAACAGGAAGGAGTGGAAACTGTTTAGGAGTATCCGTGTAACACAAAGTAGGCAGAAAGTATTGATGTGCAGGCCCTGGCAAAGGCCAAGATCTTCTAAAAAGATTTTAGAAGATCCCTTGGAATAAAGGATAGGGACAGAAATATTGTAAATATTTACTTACCTTTCCAGGCACTTTCAGAAAGATTTTGTTATTTTTGCATAGTACATCTCATAACCAGCAAACATTCTTACAGTTAGAGCACATGTCAGCTTAGATTCCAGAAACTAACAATTATGCAGGTAAGTGAATGAATAGTGAATATGTGAATAGTTTTGTAGTCTCAAGCAATTGAATAAACTAAAAAAATTAGAAATATTCTACAAATCAGGCTGATTCTAGGGGTAGGATCATTTATCACTGTCTAGGCATGCCTGGCATTGTCAAAGTAGCACATAACCTGTTAGGTGCCTGCTATGTAACTCCAGGCAAGCATTACAGGTTTTAGAAGATTTATCATAAACCACACTTCCAGTAAACCAATGAAGAAACCAGTTCATTGACTTGTGACCTTACTCTGATGAGTATTCCCATGCTTTCAATAAATCTACCTGAGAGTAAGGTGTAAGTGAACATGAAGGCTGTAAGGATTTTGGTCTGTTCTTTACAACAGTTTGATAACTTCAGAGCTTCATGAAAATAGCCATCAACTTTTTACTCACAAAGCCTAACTGGCATTTTATTAGCATGAGAAACTTGCAAATGTGCTCCCCTTTTGGTAATGTACATGGTGGTTTTGTTCTTGAGGCTGTAATTTTTCTCAAGTTTATTATGTGCCACTTGGATTTGTGAATTCTTGTATCACACCACTCCTTGTTATGTGAGATGAGGCTCTTGCTGCATTTTATGAGACAGCTTTTAAGCAAAGATATAACTTCTGCTGTTACATTAGTAGTGCAATGCAGTACTTCATCAGTGAAAATGAAATGCAGTCTAGAATTGTGATCAAAAGTAAACATAGAATAACTCAAAATCCTACTCCTTTAGTCTTTCACTGTTATCTGGAATGAAAAACAAGCTCATGAGCCATGCTAAGCATGCACTTTGCCAAGCAGAGAACATGCTCTTCATTTGTAAATAATGCTGTGAAAAGAAATATTCTTAATAATAAAGCTAAGTACAGTTTAGTAAATGTAACGACATGACACATTCATACTTACAGTATCAGTAATCAGTCAGTAATATCCATAACATAACATTTTCTTTAATAACTGATTTTATGACACGATAATTCGATTCTGCTTTACTGACTATCATCATCTTCAAGTCTTTCTCAAACTTTTCTTTTAAAAGCTGATAACAGACACACTGATGACATACAGATGCTTTAAAAATTCTGTGTTTTTAAAACCTCTCCCTACGCACACAAACCACAAGAGCTGTTAAACTGAACTGGGTGGATACAACTTGGATCTCACTCATTTTGGATAATGAAATACTCACTTTCTAGTCAGCAAGTCTTACCAAGTGCTATACTTCAGAGGAATGCAGTGGCAGAAGGGCTGCACACAGCAGAGTTACTTAAACTGACTTCCTGCACTTTCTATTATAAATCTTGCTATGTTCTTAAGCCTTTATTCATATTTTTTTTAGTTAGACCAGATTTTTTAGGTTTTGCACTTAGCCTGACAATTAAGTTCCAAAAGTACACTACATTATTTAGGAAAAAGACTCACCATTACAGAAATCCGTGACATAATTGTGTATCATAACATTCCATTTGGGGAAAGAGTATTTTTGTCAGGGTGCATTCAGATTTAAGATGGGAAAATCTGTGGTTAATGGTTTTGTGGCTAAAGCTGTTCCATATGTTTAACTTCATGATTACTCACTTGTTATCATCAGCAACTCTGCTAAAGTACAGATGACTCTTTGCTTCCCATTAACATTTCTTTATATCTTGCTAGACTCTGATGCAAAACTGTGCAGATTTCTGAATACACTGGAGATGTGTGTGTTTGCACCAGCCCATGGAATGCCCACGAGGGTGTTTCCTGAAGCTTAAGGAGGGTCTGAATAAATGTTGTAAATATATTCCCCAGTTGTAAAGTATGTTACAAGAGTATCTTAGAAATGGTTCTACAAGTATCTATGGTTATGGACACATCTTACTGACAATACATGGAAAAAGTACAAACCCTTTGAGCTTATTTTCTGCAGAGTAATTGGCTCTTTGATATTCAGATTACTCTGTACTATTGGAAGGGCCTGTTCCTACAGCTGGGGCATGGACTTAACACAGTTTTTGCATGCAGCTGCTGCTGAACCAGACCCAGGAGGCTACACAATGTTTATATCCCTTTTTCAGAAAGGACTTTGAGCTCCATCTTTTCTTTACTGCAATCCACATTAACAGGTTAAAACTTTCCTAAAAAGCTGAAACTGTGTTGGATGAGAGGCCTCAGGAGCTTGCTGCATGGAAATGACTGCAGGTTAATGCAGTCTTAATAAGAAGCTTTATTCCAACCTGCATGTGATTCTCCATGTAGATGACTCTTGGTGGGGGCAGCTTCTACCTGCCTCCAACACAGGGTGATGAGCCTGATGTCTGTCTGGTGAGCGATGTAATGGTGTCCCTGTGTGCTGCCTGCCTACCATGCAGCCTACTTTTGTTAGAAAAACCTGCTGTGAATGAGCTCTCTGTGTTCCACAGAAGCTGCACATAGTTCTCTCTCTTTCACGAACAACTTATATTAGAACCTGATGATCCACGAAAGTAAACAGAAATCTTTTGTGAGCTGACATTAGCTTTGCATCAGGCCTTTTAAATGGGCTGGTTTTGGAGCATACTTACCGTACCACTCATCAACCCAGGCAAATGCCTGCCGGTGACCAATCAATAGTATATCTCTGACGACCTGTGGAACAAGGGAAAGGTTAAATACCTCTGCAGCAACTACACAGAAAAGTGTTAGAGAAGTAACACTTGTCCTTCAACATGACTGAAAGTGAAAAATATTCTGTCAGTTTTATGTCTAAGGAGACGTGTCCTAGAGAGTCAGACATACTGCCTCTGAAGGTCTTTGGCCCAACCTCCCACCTCAAGTGGATCTATTGCCCACACTGGATCACATCAGTGTGGCTGTGACCTGCATGGGAGACCATTTGGGAATGTGTTCAGCATTTATTAATCTTTGGACAATTAGACCTTCTGGGACTCTTCCTTTTTCCTTGTTAGTTTTTTAAACGAGGATAAAACACATTTATCTGTGGATAAACAGAATAGTTCTAATACTCTGACAAATACTATCATTTGGCTGTTATGCCATTCATCCATTAGTTTTTTTAGTGGATTGATTGGAAAACTTTCCCACTACCTGTTTGTAAGAAATTCTGCACATCACTGCTACATGTACTCACATGTATTCACAAATGCTTCAGCTCATACATTTACTACAGTATTGAATATATTGATAGTTTTTGTCAACGTTAGAACTCTCTGGCTCTGCTCCAGATCTTCCAGCCCCTGGAGAGAGTTCTGAGTGCAGATTCAGCTGAGCTCCCCAGCTTCTACACAGTCATAGTTACATTCCTGTGCAGGGCAGTACTCAAGTTCTGCTTATGTGAAGGATAAGAAACAGCTTGTGTTTCACTGACCTTGTGTACAAATTGCTCTACTCTGGTTTGAAGCCCCCAGACTTCAAATTTCACAGTCACAAGCTTGTAGGAACACATGATGGGCTGATGTGTCTCTCTCCAGCCTTCTTTTAACTGGCCTCTCCCAGTCTTCTGTGACTTGAAATATTTAGGATCCTGCAAAACAAAGAAAACACACTGGGAAATGCAGGAGAGGAAGTCCTGTTTGTTAATGCGTGAAAGTAAATGTTTTGATAAGACATAAGATATTACAACGTGCTAATAAACATCATGAAAAAGTAACATGAAACTGACTTAAATAAGTACCAGAATACACTAAAATCCAATCTGTCTTTTAGTCCAGCAGCCAGTGAATCGATGGCAGCATATTCTTGGAGATGCCTTAACAATCCTATCATCTAGGGCATTTTCTGCTATAGGAAAATAGATTATTGCAAGTAATTACAACACAGTGCACTCCAAATGTTATTTATGGCCTTTGGAAAAGAACCAAACCCATGGCTTCTTCAGAGCTGCTTTCCCACTGCTCCCTCAGGATGACTTACTAGTACTGTCTACCCATGTCCTTCTTGCTGAAATCATGTCCAATTGGTCACACAGACACTGATGTGACCCTCACAATGCCATTTTCAATGTTAAGTATTTTGTATATCCAGGTGGGCAGTATTAAACTCCTTCAATTCAGCCGCCCCTGGTTACAAGTGAGTTACAGACAAAACACTAAAGAATTGAACTCTGTCTCTCTTCTAAAAAATGCAAAATCAAATAAATTGGTGTGGAAATTACAAAAGCAAGACCAAAAAACCAATAATGGTATTAGTTAATCATACAGTTTTATCTGTCAAAGAGTAATTTTCCGTATTGGTATAATTCCATTTCACTTTATGTCCAATCCTGACAATTACATCTTGTAAATAGAAATAATTTACAGTTAAGCATTGATTTTCAAAGCTTAAAAATAATGTACTTCTAGTAAATTCATAGTGGAGCTTCTAAAAATCTCTCTTCAAGAGTAACCACCCATGCTTGCCTGTGCTGTCTTCCCCAAAGCTGAGATTTGGGAAGATCTTTTGAATCCATCCTTTGTTATAAAAGCAAAACATTAAACATGTATTTACACATGTGCTTAAATTATGAATTAAATGGAAAACAATCAGGAGAAAAACTAACAAAAAATTGATACAACTATTCCGATCTTAATTTTCTTTCATTCATTGTGAGCTTATATATCATTCAGCATTCCTTTTTCTAATGTTCAGCTATCTCCTGACTCAGCTTCTGATTTTATCCATAAACTGAAGCTCTGTTATTAAAGCCTCTCTACAAAGCTCTAATGAGGTGATAGTCTTGCTGCTCTGTGAAAGTCATTGCATTTATTGCTGACATACCCTTTTCTAAATAGAAACTTGAAGCTTGCAGCATAATAAGGTTCCAATGTTAAATCACAATGAGAAACAATTCAGTGTCATCATTTATCAGAGCAATATACCACCGTACATCACAGCTCATAGTCTCATGCTGTTGCCAATCTTCTCACTCAATACAACTTGACCTCAGATTGATCTAGATGTTTTTTGCTTGAATTCATCAATGTAATAAAAATAAGAAAAGCAAAAAAGAGAAGAACTAAGATGTAATATTCAGCAAGATGTAAAATTCTAGTAGATTGTTCTGTAAATAAAGAAATAACTACAGGAAATATGATTTCAAATATTCCTGCAAAATATTCCAGTGTTAAATAAGCATTTCTAGAAAGGAAACCAGTTTAATGTAAGGAAGGGTCTGCTGTTTCTGACATACACATACGGTGCTAGTGTGATGGAGCCAGTGTCTTGATGAAGCCTTTCGGATATGCACATCAGTAATACTGAGTGTTACACTTCACAGCCCTTCAGTGATAACCACATCTGTAATGGAATAACTTCAGTGCAGTCCAAAGGGATTTACTGCAATGATTTTGAATCAGTATCAACTATTCAGAAGTCACAAATAAAAATCAACTAACAAAAGCTACGCTGCATGACTGCCCAGTCCTGCATGGAACTTGTGTCTCAAACTGCCAGAACCCCCTGGATGCTGTGAAAGTGTTTTGCTTTGGTTTGGCTTTGCGATGTCCAGCCCAGTGGACAAGAGGGTTCTTAAATTGGTGTCCCACAAATAATCCACCTACTGCATACAATTTATCCACCACACCACTCCTAGCTGCAGATTCCTTTAATGGCACCCAGGGATGGCACCTTTGTTTCCCTTAATCACATCCCTTTCTCTTGGAGGACATGATGTTTAGTCACAAATTGGCTGGACAGTTCCAAGCAGAGAGCCAGGCAATGATGGACAGCATGGGCAACTTGTATCCAATAGCTTTTATGGAAATTCCTGCCTTTTTGAAAACATTAACTGATGAATGGAAGCCAGGAAACAGAAAGAATTCAGAGGAATGGATGAAGATGTTAAAGATTTTACTGAGTGCTTGATCAGGCAAGCTAAAACTCGAAGACTGTGTATAAGCTCAGTCAGATTTAGGATACAAGTAGTAGGTCATAAGATACACAGCAACATTAAACAAAGTGAATTTGAGAACCGAATCCCTGGGCCATCAATTCAAAGGGTGTCGAAGGTGAGAACTTTGGCATGAAAGCCACAACCCAGACCAATTCATGTGCCTGACTCACGACTTCAAATTGCCAGGTTCAGACTCCCAGCCTGGAGTCCTTCCTGCAATCAGTATGTAAGGTCCTTCTAAAAAATGTAATTAATTAGGAGGATAATTTTCTATTAAATACAAGTAGAAATAGCTCTGGTACACAGCACTGCTGCTCCTCCTGACTCTCATGCTGTAGCTCACTGATTAGGTCAGTCAGAACAAATTAGACTCATGGGCCACGCTCGCATCTCTGCAAGTCCCAGGAGGAAGTGCTGAGCACCTGCCTGTACCAGACCACGGCCATTCCTTGTTCCTCCTTTGAAAGGCATGGCAATTTCCCAAACAGATACCAGAGGCATGAGGCTGCAGTGAAGCAGCAAGTTCTACAGGCAGGAATTGTGGCACATGTGCTTGAAACACTTCTGTCCGTGACTAGAAACTGGGAGAGCTAATCTTTGCTCTGACCCCCTTTTTATATTGTTATTTACATCATTAATTGTGTGTGCCTTATTTTTGCTTCAGCCACCCATGCCTTCCTTTCTAGAGGAGCCATCAGCCAAAGAATACTGCCTCTATTCACTGTTCCCCCTTAATTTATCTACTGGCAGAATCCTCAATCCATTTTAAATGTAATGGCATAGCTAAAATCTTTTTGTTTAAATAACCTTCTCGTCCTTTTATCAGACACAATTTATTAGGAAAGCCCATCTGGCAAATCCTTTTGCAGAGGAGCAAAACCTACTCTGTATTTGCAATACATTATTGCCAGGTGCAGAGTGATTTAAAAATAGCTCTTCTGCTAACAAAGCAGAAACAACATGACCCGTGAGCTGGGCTTATTTGAGAGTAAAATGTAAAATTATAATGAAATAAAACAAAAGCCCTGCTGTGATGGATAGGGTTTTAAACACAGCACTCTCCCAGTGTTTCTTAGGCCATGTATGGTTGGTCCTGGCTCAACAGCTTATTATTTAGCATTTATTTACTTAACTTTCCCCATGGACCACAGACGTTACAGGCATCGGTGTGGAACTGCAACCTCCTTTCCAGGAGGGAACACCACTGTATTGACAATATAGCACTGGGCTGTTGCAATGCCTTTTCAGATTTTATTCTGAAATATTATGTTTAACTTAAAGTTAAATAATAAGATACATTTGTGGTTTACAGAAACCTGCCAAATCTGAATAGGCATCCTTTCCCTGAGCTTCACCATGGGATCAGCAGGAGTTACAAATGCCATACTCTTGTGCAGCTGTCAACACCTACTTTGTCTGTGTGCTGGAAGCCAGCGTGGAACATGTTGTTACCTTGTCACTGATCTGTCTCAAAAATTTCTTACTGTTTGTACAGCCATTATAGCATGGAAAGAGATCCCTACGGTGAATGTGCTCTCCAGAGGTGAAGGTGCAATATGCGTATGCCATGCATGCTGTTCTCTTACTGGAGGCACTCAGATCTAAAGCAGATTCTTCCTCTCTTCCTTCCTTTTAATGCATGGATTAGTTTTTTCAGCCCCTACTGCAATATGTTCCACCACTGTGCTTATGTCAATACTTACATGTGGTCTGGCCTTTCACCATCAGCTGTAGCTGCTAGGGCTTGGATTTCAGCTTAGCGAGGGCTCTGGAAAGATTTGTTGATGTAAAAATGCTACTACTATAGACATATACGTGGAGCCGTTTTTAAAAGACTTTCTTTCCCCCCCTCTTCTTGAATTTCCAATAGAATGTATTTTCTGGAAGAGACAGCTAAATACTTCAGAACTGTAAATACTGGGACAGTCCTGAGGTGTTAAGATATGATAATGCAGCCAGGCTTTACATAAGCTCACAAATGAAGTTAGTCAGAAGGAAAGGGAAATTTTAATCTCTTTTTGCCATGCCCTGTTCTGATCCTCTGTACCAACATGTTGTACACGTTCACTGGGGGGCCGAGGCAGCTGTGTTATCTCAAACATAATTCTCTGGCTCTGTAATGTGATAGAGGTTTTGTTATTCTGAAAGCACCTGGACAGTAGTAAGCTGGACCTATTACAGTGCAGCTGTGTTAAAGTAAAAGCAGCCAGAAGAAGAAAAACTGCAGCAGCTGCATGAAGTCTTTCTGTGTGGAGGTAACTTAAAAAGTTTATTCCATTTGTCCAACTCTCAACTGCTTTGTTATAAACAGGAAATGAAACACTGTTAATTTTGACAACTTGAGTATGTTGGCAAAGAACATTTTGCTCAGTAGCTCCCATCTACAGTAGATGTTTCATTTCAGTGAATGATTCACTTGAGGCCCTCACTCTTCAGCATAGCTCAGTTTTATTCTTTTCTATAACTCAGATAAATATGTATGTCTATATGGGGAATACATGATGGCTGGTGATACATATTCATTGAGGGTAAAGTCGCAAGGAAATGAATTTACAAAATGTGCAACTACTCTTACCTGTAGGCTTGCACATTCTTTATATAGATACAGAAAATTCTGTATTTGATGTAATACACACATTCAGATTTGGACACATATGTGAGTCCTTACAGAAAAACAGGCAAACTTGTTAGCCTAGATTCAAGCTTTCTCCATTTGGGAACTCACATTTTAAACTTCTGAAGTTTAAGGATTTTTAGGCCTATGCTAGTAAAAAACCCCTGCTTTATTTAGGATATGGCAGCACTGTGGGGTGTTCTGGTGGCTACTGCACAATGAAGGTTGTAGATGGTCATTAAGTCAAAATTCAGTCATCTGCTTTGGGAGGCCCAAGACTGCTGCAGTTACATCCCCTCCAGGCTTCTGCAAGGACAACTTTTTGGATACCAGAAACCCGTACACCTCCATGGAGGACAGACTTGGACTCGGTGTATGTTTGTAATAGCTACAAATTGTCTCTGATTCACTGTTTACTTGGTGATTTAAGTCCTTCTCTGCACACACTGACAGATAAGCTCTCCATTCTGAAGGGAATTCAAATCACTTGCAGGCCTCTGGACAAGAGATCACCCAGCATTATTGGCAGAGGTCCCTCCTCAGTGAAACAACAGCTCTCCTGAAGCCTCCAGCTAACTATATTTTTCCTTTTCCATTTTAGTTAATACTTAGAAGGAGAGAAAAAGCAGATATGCACAAATCTGAATTCAGTCATTTTCCCTTCAACCACCATGACATTTTCGTGGAACACTTCTCCTTTCTCATCAGCACCAGCTCAAGTCAAAATGAGCTGTGCAATTCAAATGGAGTATACATTTATGTATGATGTTTTATACATGTTGCCTTTTTATGCATGAATCATTATTACGTAAGTTACAATGGAAGGTAGAACATAGATATGTTTATAGGATTCATGTCAGGGCAAGTGAAAAGCCATGTTTTAGATCCCAGGTGCTAGGAAGAAGAGATGGGTTGCTTCACTTTGTATGGAGTTTGTTGCTGTGGGTCCCTTGGGTATCTCCTGAACCCTCCCGTGGTTGCTGCACTATTATCACCTCTATTGATGATACTGATATCGCACAATCGCATCTTCCATTTATAGAAATGAGAAAAACAACACTAAAGCTGCCCAAGCTCATTCTGGTACAATCAATGTTATTTGATACAGTAGCCCAAAGAAAGGTCACAGCCAAATTGTAGGAAGGGGCTGAAAAACTTAGGTTTTTGGCCCAAACAGCCTGTGAAGGGTAACTGAGCACTTCAAAGTTCAAAATAATGGAAATCACAAATACTAGCTTAACTGCAACTATGCAATTAGTGCTGTCTGATCATATCAGCAATCACCCATCTACAAGCAGTTGAAGTAGTGTGTGAAAGGTTTAAATTATTTAAGTTACCCCTTTAATATACAGTAATGAAACTAAATAAGGAAATTTGCTGTTAAAAATGACGTATATTTTTAATTGAAGAGGGATGCACTTTCATCAGGATATAAAAGAAATTTAAAGCTCATGTCTAGAAGCTGCCACATATGCTGACCCTGATCCAGAACTCACTTAACTGTAATCATGTAGAAGCTCCACTGAGCTGAAGAGATTACTAACATGCCTGAAGTTAAAATCATTCTCAGTGGTCTTTCCAGATGGGAGTCAGAACACTACCCTGAGGGATCTAATTCTTAAATCACTTTTAATCTTTAATCTTAGTATCACTTCAGCTAAATGAACTAAAAGCAGCCAAATTATTATTAGAACTAAAATGCCTTTCAAAAGCTTTCAGTAAATGGGTTTTAGTTATCTCTAAAACTGCTATTTGGAAAACACAGACCGTTCCTCATTTACACAAACTTACTTTTTATCCTGTTCTGATTGAAGACAGACAGAAATTACATTTACAACATTAAAAATCTTTTTATAGTCCCTAAATGATGTATGAGGCTTCATGAGAAATGGGAATTTGGCTTCACATTCATCATATGGTAGCATAAAACCCCATAGCTGGTAAATTTTGGAAGATACTTAATTCAACTATTTTTAATTCAGTGTCAGTTACAGTATGTGCACAGTTAAATGCTAAGGTGTTCTTACTATTTTGTACGAATTCTGAAACAGAATTTGGTAGGCACATACACATCATCCATCAGTACAGAAAAAAACAACAGATGCTGGGCTATTTTTGTTGTTTAAACCCATGTAAAATTCCATTTTGCTTGGAATCAGGTCTCTAGTGTCTGAAATAACAACACAAAGACTGAAATTCTTTCTTGCTTAACATGAGGTTGGTTTCCTCTATCATAAGAGTAACCATGTGGAAATTATACTTAATAGTTGGCTATTAAAAATGGGAAGGAAAGCTGAAAAGGTGTTAAACCTCCATGTTTACCATTTCTGGAAGTGCACACATTGACATGGAAAATCTGACATGATTTCTTTAAAGCCCAGTGAAATGCTGACCCATTCAATAGCAGCAGTCATTCCTAAATGGAACCAGGAGACTATGGAGTTCAGATAAGATGATGGGACCAATAAGCTGTTTCATGAGGTGTTATACAATTTTAGTACTAACCAGATGGGTTTCATTATCTAAGGGAACTAATAAAATTACTTTTCATTCTACTGTAGACCCAATTTGGTTTTATGACCCATACATAAAATTTGAAATAGGATCTATAAATGGAAGATAACAAGTACCCGACTTTTTTAGTCTGAAAATCATGTCTCCTATGGTATAGAAATAAATTCATTGGCAAGTCTTCATTTTCTGCCCTAAAAATGATTATGTAGTCTCGTTTTGTATAGTCAAACAGCTGCCATACTCATTGCCAGCTATGAATATATACTTGGCTCCAGAGGAAAATCATATCTCCAGAATTAAATGCAAGCAGAGATCTGATCTTTCCTCTCTAGCTACTTGTTGTGAACCATCATTTTTCAAGTCTGAGGTTACTGAGGCCTCATCTTCATTTGCATGATGGCTGCTGATTTCAAACCAGTGAATTGCACTGACCTAAAAGAAGGGTGCTCTTTAGAGATGTGAGCCATCAAATATACATGGAGTGATTTCCAAGGGAATTCTAAGGGAACAAATGTGTCTGCTGCCATTGATGCTTCCTGGCAGATTCACTGCAGCATGTAGTCTACTTCAGTCCCTCTTGGTCTTGTGTCATGGTCACCAATGAGTTACCTCGTGCATCAACCCTGTCCTCATCTGTCCTTTGCCTGGGCTCAGACACTTCACACGACTTGTTCATCATGGCGGGATGCAAGTAAGGATGACAGGAACATTTAATACCCCTCAGACCTGCAAACACTTAACTGAGCTTCATGATTCAAAGAAAAGTCTTTTTCTACTTTGAATGAATTCAGATGAACATCAAAGATCTGGTACAGGATATGTTCCGATAAGGGTATGAAAGCATTTCAAAAGGCTGGAGGAACCATCTGCAAAAGGAAGTGTCAGGCAATTTAGATAAGGAGGTTGCTATTGGCTTCCCCTCAAATTGAAAGCTTCTTAAATACTACTGACCAGCAAGATTTCATACAAAAAAAACCTTTGATTTGATTACTATCGAGGCTTTCCTGCAGCCTCTTACATTCCCTTCTTCACCAATTCACAACCAAGTTGTCTCTTACCTCTGATTCCTTGTAATAGCGCTCGGGAATTTCATCACTGGCAATATCAATAAAGCAGACTTCTCTCTCCAGGTCTTTAGCTTCTTTGTCAAAAATCTGCAAGAGTTAAAGAGACTCAGCACTGTTCAGAACATCACCCTTACAAAATCCACCTGGAATAACCGTTACAAGCAATTTCAATGACTTGTGCAACATAATGTATTTTTGGCTTGCATCTGAACATCTTCTGATGTAAGATACCGAAGTTTTTGCAGGGACACAGTCACGTTCTCTAGCAGATGTCAAAGGGAAGAAAATCGGTGTTCTCAAGATCATACATAAACAAGGTGTTCCTAAGCAAAATTTATGACAGTTCGAATGAATTATCCCACAGACTTTTTCAGGAACAATCCACTATGTCAGATCAACAGAGGACTGTTAGACGTTAACACATCGTGTTCAGCACTTACTGCTCACACTGCAGGTCTTCCTTGTACTTTTTGGAAGGGAGACTTTGGTCACAAATAGTAAAGTCAACATCTAGGATGGGGTTTATTGTGTTCTCTACTGTTTGAGCTGGATTCCATTACTGTGTAAAAAACTTAAGTTTCTGGACTCTGGCTGTTTCTAACCTTTTCACTCTAGGGACAAGAATGAAATGCAGGTATTTTGTGTGAACAACTCAGGCTAAGGTGCTGTTATACTGAGAATCAAAAGTCTGGTTGAACTGTCCTCAGTGGAAGCTGGAAACTTCCATCCATTTGAGCACACTCAGAGCTTATTTTCATCTCAGTCCTTTAGGAGCTGGTTTTGAACCTCAAGTCTCTTGTTTTTGCAAGGCAAACAATGGCTATATTTGAAATGCAGGTCATTTGCATCTGTGCCTGTGCCCAGAATTTAACGATTGAGGCATCTTGGTGACCCATGTGACTGATCCTATCCCTGCAATATAATTCTACTTGTGATTCTGGGACTTGGAAATAGTGGCTAGCTAAAAGGCTATCATGAACCATCAAATTCAGGGAAGCTCTGCAGACACTGTCAAGATCAGTAACAAGCCAAGGATGTGTTTTTCCCTTTGGGGCACAGTGTTCTATAGCGAATGTTTCCAGGAAGCATAAATACTGTTTTCTTTTTTTGTTGTTGTTAAATAAATGCAGTGAACGCTCTGTTAATTTCACTTCATCCTAAAGGAACAGTTAAAAAAACAAAATGCCAGCGACTATTCAGTAACAAGAATGCTACTTTAGTGGTTCTGGAAGATGCGGCTACCCATTTAAAGCATTCAAAGTGAGCAATGAACTATGATGAACCAGTTTACCAGCTGGTAAGGAGAACGTTGCTCAGGAAATATACGAAAAGCTGAAGTTTGACTCTACCATTTTAACTTGTCTTGGTCATTAACAGCACTGGAATAAAATAAGCAATGCTGAATGCTTTGTGAACTGGATATAAAATGTTAATGTGTCTGAAACTGCAGAAGAACGAAACAAAGGGAAACTCCAGTCTGCTTTTATCTGTGTACTTATTTTCCTTCTCCAGTCCTTGTTTTGCAAAACATGGTGATTATTTGAACAAATGTGAGCTGAGGGGGCCTTTCCCCATCATGCCCTTTCTTGGAATACATTTTTTAAATAGCTGTTGTGTTTGATATGTATAATACAGGTCGCTTTTTACAAGCTTCCCTGCTTGCTTTTCTCCTAAGCAAATTCAGATATACAGAGCAGTCCCTTGATGAAATCAGCTGAGCTATTTCTGGAACAAGATGCTTTCACTATAATCTCTGAGCTTTAAATAAAATAATGGAGAATTCTCTTAAATGGCCATTACCAGGTCAACTGAGGCCCTGAATCAGTCAGTGTATGGTTTAAGTACAAACCTCATGAATTTAAGCACACACAAATCTGCACATTTGCAAGGACCTAAATTGGAACTATTACCCAATATCTTATCTGAAAAAAATGTGCCCTGCTCTGTCACAGGCTTGATCCACATATTGCACCTCTAAGTAATATAGTTTTACATTCTTTTTCTCTTTCAGATGCTTTGCTAGAAGTGGGGATGACAGATGCCTTTGCCAATCTGTCAAAAACAGGAGGAATTTTTCAAGCATTTCAACTGTGCCTTATTTGCTGCTTCAGCTACCTCTGACCATTTCCTCCATTCCAGAAGTTTGCTGAATGACATTGTTGCTTCCCTTTACTGGCACAAGTTGCTGTCTAATCATTTATGCTTTTCCCCTTCTTAGATTGTCCTCACAGCATTTGCAGATAGGGATTTAATCTTCTCATTCTATCAGCAGCAGAAAGTAAGAAGTCATTAGAGAACAAGACTGATTTCTTTCCTAGCTCTAATTCTCTTATTTCCTCTCCTAACCCCATAATCTGCGATTGCCTCAAAACCTGTAGGAAGGATGGGTTTATTGTGTTTGTGATCAAAGAGACTAAAATTTAGAAGTTTTAAAGGAAGAGATTAAAGGCCACAAAAAGAAGCATAAGGCTCCCAATCTGTGCAACTGTATTCACAAATGTGCAGAAAATGAATGGTGAGAACAATCTGTATCCTTAAGAAGATGATGTAGAAAGGCAGAATATTAAATATTATTTTGGAAAGAGCTGGACAGGCTTTACAGTTGGAAGCCAAGTAATTAATTGATACTGAAATACACAATCAAATGGAAAACAAAGAGTAATATTCAGGCTGGAGAGTCCTTTCTGCATCAGAGTTTGGCTTTTCTTAGGGGTGGGGTTTGTGACAGCTTTTTTACAACAGACAAACATTTATACACTTTCCAAGAGGACTGAAACCTCATCATTATGTAGACTAACTCACCCACAGGAAAAGTGGAAAAAAGATTTCAGTTGGGTCATCATTACGATTGTCAGTAGTGTCTTTTGGGGAAAATTTTCAGACTCTGGCAGATGATTCCAGTGCCTCAGAAAAGGAAGATCACAGAGGATACTGCAGCAATCCAAGTGCTGCTGTATTTAGAATTCTTTCCTTCATTTTCCTCATGACCTACAATGACATATCCTAGCACATTGTTAGAGACTTGACTTTTCTTCGTAGCCACAGCCAGAATGGAAAGTCAGATTATGAGATGACAGTAAGTCAACAACAAATTTAGTATCTTTTTCTACAAGCTCCTTTCCCATTTTTCTTCTTTTATCTTCAGGCTAAATTGCTGGCTTCACCCTCGTTCAGATGTAGCTAATCCCAAATGTAACTTTTATGGCAAATCCCCATAGCCAGCCTGGTTTGGATAGAAATGGGTATAAAGTCAGACCCTGCTGAGTCCATTCTCCTATGCTAGTAGGACTCTGAGGGTCAGATCAGTGCTTGTTTGCCTTGGCTTTGTTTCATAATATATGAATGTATCTTGTGATATTTCTTTCCTGTCATCAAGAGCAGAATATATATGGATTCATCATTTGTAGGATGGTTTAAATCTAGATTTAATAGTATGAAAAATTTAGAGGTGTAATTGCAGTAAGGTCTGCAAGAATAGTTTTTTTTTCCCTATTAAAAAGGTACAAAACCTGCTCTCCACCTTGAAATTCTAATCCCCTTAAATTGCCTTCGTCAGAACTACTGGCTAGTCTCCAGTTTTGTATTACAGCATCCTTTAGCAGGTTGTGTCATCTGCTCCACTTTAACTCTCATTTTCCTGGAGGAAAATTTGGTCTAGAATAAAAGGCCACCTCCTCAGAAATTGAACTCTGGAGTTTTATTCAGTGTGTAACTTTTCACTAAGTCATGTTCCAACCTCCTTACCCCCAAAGTCCATTAATTTGCTTTGGAGATTTACTTGGGCAAAGATTACAGGAATTGCCCAATTTCAAACCTGTTCACTGGCTAAAACTATTCATGTGGACATACATAACGGGGAGCAGTTTGATAGAAAGAGACTGAATCCCTCCCTGGGAGCAGTAAACGTGGCTCACTGATCAGCATCCGAATATCACTGCTGCAGAGAGGAAGAGCAGCCACATCTTTATCAGCAGCCTTGTTGCCTGCTCTCTTTTTTCTCTATGTCACGACTCCTCTATTATTCTATCTCTCACAAAATATCTCGCTTAGATTTGTACTTTCTGAAGAGAGAACTGTATTTTCATGTAATTACGTCAAAGTAGCTCCAAGGCCATAACAGACTGGGAATATTAACTGGGATTAGGTTTTTTAAAGCCGCATTCATTTCAAGTGTTACAGTTACTAATTCACTTCAGTCGTTCAGTTAGAAAAATCAAATAGGAGAGGCACAACCATATTACTTGCTCACATTCTGTCAGTATGGGCCTTATCTTAGTTTTGCAGTAGCCATATGTGTTAGGGACTCACTATTTGTAATGATATTCACCAAAAGGAGAGCTCTTGGCACAGAAGGAACTTACAGCTAACCTCACCATTTATTTGTCTGTACCCTTTGAAACTTCTTAGAGGGGGAAAAGCCTCACAAAATCAAGATTTTTCATTGCAAATCATGAAGCAAACAGATACTGAACAGCATCATACAGAAAAAGTCCAGGTGCAAATAAAATCATCCCTAAAACTGAACCTTGATTTTGACATATTTGCAGTGGTGCCTGGCAGTCCTTTAGCCAATTTACACCATGATATCCTGTAGCGCGATGAGGCCAAGCCAGGGCACAGCTGACTCCATTGCAGCTGACAATAGTTTTTTTATGGCAATTTCCTTAAATAGGGAATTTACATTTAATTTACATGTTCTATATTAAGTTCATTACACCCTAGCTCTGTGTTACCAAGATAGGAGACAAAAGTAGGGGGATAAACCACCCTAAAACCAGCAGCACTAAAAATGGCTTTTCTTCTTAGCTGGCCGTATCTAAAATTGATCTCACTTTTGTCAAATATTTCCCAATCAGAATACACACTTCAGAAATACAGATTAAGGATGAAGCACGATGAGCAATCACTACTGTGTACATGGTCACTTGTGGGGCTGCAGAATGAGAACTCCCTGGCAAGAAAGGATTTTCTAACTTTAACTGATGGCATTGCAATTTACTTAGGTTGTGTATTAAATAGCATCTGCTATCAGCTTTGGTGTGCTCAAGCTATTAATGTGTCAGATGATACTGGTGTTAATTTATAACTATAGGGAATACAGAACTACCTCCTGGTTTCATTTGACAGTGGTCATTCAAGACTATATTACCTTTGAAAGGCAATAAACATGCTGATAATCTATTTTTCTCTTGATGGAGGAAGAATTAGTGCTGCAGCTCTGATGACTCTATCAGCATTACTGCGACATACTCTTACGAGAACTTGCCCAATGAGACTCGGAATTTGTCATCTTGAAATGTAACTTTGCCTCAGAATCCTTACATTGCCCTTAAGAATAATGTTATTCTTGCTAATAAATATCATGGTCCTTTAGGAAAAAGAAAGAGTAGGTTACTGTAAGGTCTTGCATGTTATTCCTTAATACTCAAGATCTAACCATTGAGTTTTCCAGAGCAAAATGTTACGCTGCAAAGAACAAGGCACTGTTTTGCACACACTGAATTTCCATTATTGACAACTACTGGATTATTTTTACAAGCTGTACTTTACTTTCCCCAGATGGTATCAGATGGCAAAAATTCACTGCCCAAATATCAGCAGAAATTAATTCTGTGACTAAAAAAACAAACAACAAAAAAACCCCCAACAAACCCCAGTCAAACATAATGATCCTTCTGCAACAAACAGCAAAACTGACACGTGTCTGAAAGCCAGGGATTTGCTTGAACCTTGACAGCATGTCTGCCTTCACCAGGCAGTAACGTTCACAGGACTAGACTGTGGCATGCAAGAACAGACACGGAGCTGCAGCACGTGAGATCACTGTGCATTGATTACAGCATCTAGAGCCATGTGGTGGATCCTCTGTAATCAACAAAGCCCAAGCTGGTGCATTCCCCATTAAAATTAAAAACAAAATGTATGTCTGTAGTTTGTCTGTGTATGCTGAAACGGTAAGAGAGATGCGAGAAAAGTGAGAGCAATACACCGTTATGATGAAATTATACATAAATACTGACCATTCAAGAAATTGTTAAATCATATCTGTCCAAATAGAATAAAAAAAGGGGGTTTTATGTGCTCATGAAAACCACAGACTAACCATTTCTTCACAACCAACCAGTAACTTACACCACTCCTGCCTGTCACTTCTAACCATTTCATTATTATACCTTAAGAACTCTTTTCTATTTAACTTACGGTTTTAACATTCAAAATACAGACTTTGTGCATCTAGATTCAAATTCCCTATTTGCTCATTTTCCTTCCGGGCAAAAAAGTGTGCACTGAGTGATTAATGGGCACTCTTCTAGCTTGTCTGTGCTCACTGCTGCTGGCTGTTGTAGGACCCACACTTCCCTCTTCCAGGAGGTTCTGCTGCCACCCTGCCTTACATAAGCAGCTGAAGATGCAGGAGGGAAGCAGCATTTTCACGTACTCCACAGATACCACCTACAGTGTCATTTACATTTTACAAATCATTCTAAGTTTTAGAAAGTCCATTCTGTAATTTAAAATAAAAGTAAAATAAAAATAAAATTTCTCTTTAAAATAAGAAGTTTACTTTTAAAAAGACCATTTAGAGGAAACCCTGAATGACCCCAACTCACTGGTCTGGTTTCTAGCACTACTAATGAAGCTATAAAGCTTCAAGGTAGCAGTGACAATATTTGATGTACTAACACGTTCACCCAACAATGACTCTGTTTGTCTAAGGAAAGACCTGCCACGTGAGCTTCTAGATATGATACAGCAACATCAGCTGTGCTGGAGCACTACAAATCACAACTGGATGGATTTATGGTGCTGCACTATCACCATCTACACAATGTTTTATCTAAATACAGGGGTTTATTTTCCGTTTTTCTTTCTGGCAAGGTTTACATTTGTGCAAATCAAATGCAAACTTGAACAGATTGGAACAACAGTGCTTTAAGCACATTTAAAATAGGTTAAAATGATGACAAAGCTGGAGACATGGAAAAATGAAGTTCCAAAGCAGGTACCATTATCTTGCACTAGTTCCTTCTATGATGACAACTGGCAAGAAAAATCAGGAGGACTTTTGCATCAAGATATATTGCAGTAATTAGGTAGAATTTTACCAGACAGTGCAACATGTTAAATAAAATAATTCTAATGGCACAGCAGCCTGCTAAATGACAACAGGAACCCAAGAGCATTTATATTGCTTTCTTCCACTAAGCAATCGAATTAGTTTTAGTATACTTAGATCTAATTATTGCTTTTCACAATCAGTATCTAATCTATTACCTAGGATGGAAATGAAGAACAGACCAAGGATTTCAAAAAAACCTGTACGATCTCAAAAATGTATCTAGAAATAGCTGAGAAATACAGAAATGTAGAAATCTCTAGGAATGAATGCTGTGATTCCTGTTGTTTTCTGACCACGAAAACACAGTGAAATTTAATCTAAACTTGTATGATACAAAGGTGAAATACTCTGCATTTTCTTAAGTGAGATTTAAGCTTACACACTGAGAAACAGAAACCAGACCAACTGAGTCCTAGGTGTTTGGTTTAATAGAAATCTCTCCACAGGCTCAATCACATCCCTCCATATTTAGCAACCTTCCAGCATTTTGGGGCTGTATCAGCCACATCACTGGATCAACAGCAAAAAATGTCTATCTTCCACTGGTTTATTGTGTTCATACTAGTGAATAGCCCAGCTCTCAGAAGGACATGGAAATCAGGGCTGGAGTGCAGCCCTCTTCTCTTTTTCCTTCTTAGTTCAAGTAAGGGTCAAATTAAATCTGTTAATCTTAGTAAATACTTGCCTAGTCTCTGTGACTCAGGTACTGCAATGTAAAGGTAATACAGTATTACCCCACTGACACTGGTAAAAATTACATTTGAAGAGCTGGATTCAAGCAGAGTAGAGATTCTTTGATTTACATCATCTGGGTATCCTACCTCTGTGTTACGTTCATTTTAAATTCACTGGCAGGGTACTTGAGTACTAATCGGGGCTTGAGTCATAATATTTTAGCCACAAAATAAGTACCCTCAGTTCTTCCTCTGTTAGGCATCAGTACAGAATGTGTCTTCTCACTGCTGGTATTATAATGTACCAGAAAACTAGTCTGTACCTCCCAAAAGCAAAGGTGTGGGCTTGCTCTAAATTAAAGTGCTGCCAAAACCCAAAAGTGAACATTAACAAGTGCACAAATTACATAATGCTCATCTAGTTGGTAATGTAATGCCCTCCTTTCCTCCCCCCCCCCCCCCCCCCCCCCTCCCCTCTGGCTTAGACTAGCAGTGACTGAAAGTTGTTGGTATCTGGTGGCTAATACCTGATCTCTGTCATGTTCCCATTGGGAAAGTAGCTGTATGCCAAAAGCATTATTCAAAATTATACCTTGTTCTTTTACATGTAATTATTCTGCCATAAGCAGTGCACAGCTGTCAGCCCCATTAGTACACCAGCCCAGGGCGGGTGGGGAAGCGCACCTCCCATACAGAGAGCAGCACACTTCCACCTCTGCAAGGCTGCTGGAGGGACACCCCTGGAAACCGAACAGCTCAGTGTTGCGCATCCCTTAAGATATGCTTTTCTGCCTTCTTCTTTCTCCAGAATGAGTTCAAAGACTCCTTCTTTAGGTCTCTGGGTTACATTTTAACCTGCATTTCATACCTGTGAGAAACTTCTTCAGTCTGCAGCAAACAACTGTTTAAAGCATACCACAATGAAACATGTAGAAATGTATTTGTGTATTAATCTGAGGGCTGAATCTCTACATGCCTGGCTTTACTGAATGTTACTCTTTTCTTGCAAGTTGTACGACTTTGCTTTGCTCCCTGTCAAAGCCACAAAGTCAGAGTGATCTCCTGCCTTCTATCCCTGCGCATCTCCCCATCAGCAGCTGCTGGCTACTCACTCCCACCCTTCCTCTAGAGAGGATTCTGCATGGTTAATTACCCTTTCCATCTCTAAGCTCTAACTCTGAGGACATCTTAACTTTTGGTAAGTGGCTGCCAAAAGCATCACTTCAGTAGTCTAGCCATTGTTCCCTTGAAGTTGTTTACTGAGGTCTCTCATCTCTATTGTTTAGCTTCCTGTTTGCTCTTCCTAACAGCCTTTGAATTCAACCCCCTTTACTCAGAGAGAATAATGTGAACAGATAATGTGAAATGCAACTGCACCCCCAAAAAGAGTAATCTTTTTTTTACTCTCCGTAAATGTTCATCAGGACTAAATCCACATACGTAAATTACATTGTGTTTAGAGAAGTAACAAGTAGAATACAGAGGCAGAAGGGAAGTCGTGTACCTGAATCTTTTATCTCCTCAGATAAAGGTGTCAGAGGACACCCAGCTGAGGAGCTGCTCATGGACAGGACACCCTGGTGGGTGCAAAGGTACAAACCTGGTGAGGCCTTTCTCCCATACTGAAAGACCTGTGGCCCCCACATACAGCCATGCTTAACTACATGGATTACATCAAATTTTGCAAAAGCCATCATCATACTTACACTGTCATTGCTTCCTTTGTTGTCCTCGTATTTTGTCTCTATGTGAATGGAGAATTTAGGCAAAAATGAACACTGCAACAAAAGAGAAAATATGTTTGACATAAAAATTGAGCTTTGTTTCAACCACTGACTGCTCAGTACATCCTGTTTGGTATCAGCTTTCTCATTTTACTCACATAACTTCAAGAAAAAGCATACTGCTTAAGTTGGCTTACCAAGACTAGAATTTCTAATATCAGGCAACATGGTTCCAGTGGAAAAAATACTTCAAATATCTTTTCTTTAGCATTTCACAGTTCTTTCAACTCAACTTTTCACATAGGCATTGTAGCTGCTTCAGACTCTGAAGGGTACTAGTTCAGCATCTTTACTGCCAGTCAGCAAGTCTTTTCTTGCATCAATCGCCAGTGAAACAGAAGTGCCAGCTCTTTGCGTGATGCATCACTAATACCCTGTGGCAAAGTATCTTTGTAAAGACCATGACTATTGAATGTGCTGTACGTACAGCTTATACAACAAGGATGTTGATGCCTCAGAGTTCACATTGCTGTTGGTACAAGTTTGGACTTGATCAAATTTGAAGAGTTTGTCTAAGGGAGGGGCTGGTGACTAAGAACAGAGGTGAATTAGAAGGCCAGCTGTGGTGCAACAGAATGGAAATGAGAAGCCATCTCCTTTGAGACAGCAGAAAACGTATTCCTATTTCCATGGATATCACCCAACAAGTCATCATTCAGTCTTCTGCTCACAGGAAATTCAGTATTCAACAAGCACATCTAGAATCAATCCCTGTTGAAAAAAGGAGTGAGTTTTCCAGCATAGGGTTCTGGTGCCACAGAAGGTGTCTGGTCAAACTGTCTTCCCATTAACATAATGAAATCCTCCCTGTGACATGTTGGTGCTGCAGATGCCCAGACCCCACAGGCTTCTCTTCAGATCTCACAAAGGTTTTGCCTTTTCTTAGACGTCTGTGGAGTAGCACATTTACGAGTTTCAGTCCAATCTCAGCTGTGACAAGCTCTCAGCTATGGAACTTGTTCACTGAGAGACTATGTGAGAGGAAAAATACAGTAAAATATCAGCAGTTACGTGGAGTGCAGGATGGGGCAAGTTCAGTGACAGATCTGCTCCTATGACCTGTCTGTTGTGGGCAGTTAAACATTTCCTATGCATGTATATCAGACAGTGCCAGCTGATAATATACAATATTTATAAGCGATCTGTCAGAACTGGGGATCTTGTAACACCAAAACCCCATCCAGATATTCTCTCAGTTCAGGTTTCATTGTGTACCCTCAGCATGTTGCTCCTATTCTGGCAGACATCACAGGCATCTGCAAACAAAAGCCTTGGCACACAACAGGCACTACAGGGAAAGAAGTTGGGGGAAAAGAATAAAGAAAACCAGCACCAAGGTTTGTCATAAGGCTCTGATTTGGGTCTCAAAAATGAACCAAAAGGTGGAATGAACATCTCTGAACTATCTTGATACTAGCTGGAAGAAGAGATGGATTAAAGAATTCTATGATCAAATGTTCCTAAAGTAAGAAAATGTGGTTACAAAAAAATGGGGAATGACCCAGGAGACACAGGGATGCAGCAGGAGCACATTTTTCAACACTTAAAACCATTTTTCTTGATCAAAATATTTGCTTTTAGGTTCCAGTTCCAGGTACAGTGGAGGATAAGAACGGAAATAAGAAAAACTTGTGTATTTAAAGCATGGCTGCAGTTTCAGAGGAAATTCGGAATAAAGCCAAATGCCAGATTTCCTTTTCACCTTGCTATTAAAAATCTCTACTATTTTCAGTCACAGTCTAGAGTTTACCAGCAATGAGTCAAGATCGTGATACTTTGAAATGCAGCCATTTCATCGATTGAACTCAAACTGCATTAGGCTGCCTGTAGCAGTTCATCAAGCCCCTGCTTGAATCTGGTTGTTGTTTCCTGTGACCCAGAAACTACACTCTAATTAAAAAAGAGATCTTCTAACCTTGTATTTAAGAGAAAAGAAACGTTAAGAAAAGACCAAGGATCTTCAGAGTATTATAGAAGAATTGTAAGTGCCATGTACTTCAAGCCACCTCATTAGAGAGCAGAGAGTAATTTTCTGCACATAGCTATCAAAAGCCAACTTCTCGTGTATTCAGTATGAAGGCCAGGACCATAACCATCTAATTTGAGATTCTAAATGGAAACATGAATTTACCCAAACTAAAATCCACCAAAAAGTATTCCATTGCAAGTATCTCTCTCAGAAACTCGACTGACTGGCAACCACTGCTCCAGCAGCTGTGGGGGGTCTCACTGGCTTTCAGGAACATGGAGCCGGGTCCAGATTTCTGAACATTTCACAGAATGTGTCTCATGATTCATCAGCTGCACTCTGACTAATTGGCAGAGGGCTCTGGCAGCACCAGAAAACTGTTTATGCATCATTCAAAAGACTTGATTATTCATCATGCAAAAAGTTGTCGGGTTTTTCCCCCCCTCCTTAAGTGCCTGTGTATTTACTTAGCTGGGGATTAGAAGTCTTATGCAAGAGCCAGAGTCAAACTTGAGAGTGAATGGCAGGTAATAAACCTTTCCTCCCAGAGCACCACTCCCTTTCTGCTCTGCCTCCTGGGGTGTGCATTCTTCCAGCCCAAGCCTGGCGGTGATCGATGCGCTGAGCACATGCACTGGGCACCATTTCCAATTTCCCATTTCAGTGTCTCTACAGCCCAAAAGGTTCCTCTTGGAGAAAACAGTGGCAAACTGAAACTTGAATGTGAAATTAGGTTTAAATTCTACATTACAGGGCAAAATCTTCAGAGTCCTCGTGCCTTCAGTAAAACACATTCCTTTGTGAGAAGCTCTAAAAGGAGGAGTCTTTTATATTGCCACTGCCAGGATTTTTAGATGTATTATAAACTCCCTAAAAATCTGTTATAATCCAGTATGTCGGTGACACTCAAAAGCAAGTAAGAGACTATCCTGGGGTTTTTGTTTGTTTGCTTTCTTAAACTTTCTATATTTGGCATCCCTTTTGGAAGAGGTTTAAGGCTCAGGAGAGTAACCAGTGAGATAACTGGAGTCTGTAATAGTAATTACCACAAGGGTATTTCCAGATCAAAATAAAGTGAAATGAAAGCAGCATACGGAAAACACAGACTGCACTTGCATTTTCAATTCACTACAGATAACCTCTTGAAAAATGAAAGGCCTATTTTTAGCATGATGATTGATTAGTGTTGCCATAGCAATAAGCAACACTTAGAAGAACCTAAGTATGCCAAAACACTTGCAAAGTCTTAAAGAGACAGTCAAACACATACAGTGTTTAAAACTGCTTTATGGAAAGGACTGTAAAATAGCCTTTGCATAGCAGCTACACCTGAGGTGGCTGCAGGAATTATTATAGATGCCAGTAAGTAAGTTGGATAAAGGGTAACTGAGGCAGGTTTCTTCACCCTCCATAACCTGCTATTTCCTCAGTACAGCTTCAGCTGCCTTCATTTTCCATTGGGCTTCTTTCTGCAGTGTTCAAAGAACTGCCAGAGACCTCATCATTGCCCTTCTCTGAATATTAATCCACAGTCTCTCTGAATATTAATCCACAATCCTTGGGAGTTATTTCTGTACAGTAAAAATTAATCCCACTTTTTCTTTAAGCAGCAGAAGCATATCCCCCTAAATCTTAACATAAATGCCAGGAGAGGCAGACATTTCATGTAACTGTGCTCTCATCTCCTGCCACTTTGCAGATTGATGATTTCTTATTTAATATGATCACATATACATTATTTTGTCAACACAGGTGGAATCAGAGCCTTTATAGAGCAATCACCATGGAGCCTAGAGGTAAAGAACACAGTAACTGCTACAATGGGCTGAGTCTGGCCAAGCAAAACTAGAGTTTTTTAATAAGGTAACTTACAGATACCACATCCTTTGAACTCAGAATTTTGGGGCACTGTTTGGGTAGCCAGTGGGACAAAACAGCAATTCTTCATTGAAGATAAAAAACCTGGGAAAGACAAATGGAGTACCTGCTTCTCCTTAATAGGCACCCCAGTCTGTGATTCAGACCTGGATGGAAGGTCCCCAGACTTACTGAGGCAGGAGAAATGCCTGGCACAGCAAGGGGCACAGGGGGAAAACAGGCAGACACATGCACAGCAGCCCCAAAGCAACAGAGGGCATTTATAAACAAGGATAGATGGAGTGGAAGGAGGGTGTAACATGGCAGATTGGCAATGCCAGTGGATGATGGTGAGGACAGAACAGAGAGCTGGATGAAAGAGAAAGAATCAAAACCACACCTGGTTATGGATAAACAAGACATCGTCTCTACAGTCTACATGCAAGAAGATACGTGAAGAGTGATGGCTCTACAGCATATTCCAAACTACAATATTTCCTTCAGCTGTTTGCAGAAAGAATAAAGACAGTTTCTTTAACTGAATATTCAAAATGTTTTGGAAACTGGTCATCATGTTATTAACTGTCTTCAGAATACTCAGGGCAGCACTGCACAGAGCTCAGAGCTGCTGTGTGATGCGGGTTACTTACTGCACAAGCTAGCATCCATCAGGATGACAAAGTCGGAAGAGAATAGACGGAAAGGGCTGGCTAGGGCAATGGCAGCATTTGGAAGGTGTGACTCAACGTGAGGGAGGAGAATTTGGAAAGCAGTATAAGCACAGGAAGGTGGTAAAGAGCAGAAAAAGTGCTCTTGGGTGGAAAGAGTCAGAACAATGTAAAAAAGGGGCTTGAAAATAAGCAAGGGAGTTAAACTCTCACAAACAAGCTCAGAAAGGAAAACACTATTTGTTTATGTTACATACAATAAGATGAAACAGTCAACTATCAACTTGCCTCCAACCACAGTGAAACTCAGCACTTATCCCTGGTTTTCCCTTCCCTTAGGGTCTCTTGCTTTCATGGGAACAGTAACTGTTTCTTGAGGAAGAAGGGAAGGGAAGCAAGAAGCAGCGTGCACAATTGGAAATGACAGTCCCATGAATCAGAGAGGGGTTTGGATTGTTTTATAGTAAGCCAGTGGTGGAAAAAGGGAGTTTTCCCAAGCAGTTTGATTTGCTGTTTCAATGGGATGAAGTGATTAAATGAGAACACACGTTTGCAGCTTTCTAAAAATACATTATTTGTTTCTTATAAATATTACAGAGGTCTTTCCTTTTGCTAGGATCTCTAAGAGAGCAAAACGTGTGTTCTACTACAGCAATGTCCCCAGTTAGCCCACTTTCCACATTGGGGAGTGAAAGAGGTGGAAGTGGTAGTAACTGTGCATTAGACTCTAATCCTGCAATACAGATTCCATTGCATTTTTGATGCAGACTCTTCATATACTCAAGCTGAAGAAAAGCTTGTGCACTGAAGACTGATAGGTCACATCCAGATTTGAAGCGCTGATAATCAGATAAAGAGAACACAGGAAAAAGCTCTACAGATTCCTCACAGTGTTTATCTGAAACAAGTTTTTGTCCTTCTCAAGTCGTCTCATCATGAAAATAACAACTACAAAAACATTCCTTCCAGATAATTTAGTTCATGGATAAACTGGCAACGAAGTGAAGTATAAAACATGCTTGTTCTCAAAAGTAATCAGGAACCAGCAGGTCAGTAACCAACATTTACCAACTACCACTCTGGGGCCTTGACACATACCAGATGAAATCATTTTATTTGCCTCAGTCATTTGCTGTAGAAGAATTACTGTCACTGGGAGACATCATTAAAGGAATCATTATCTCCTGCTTTGTGTTCCATAACTGTTTTTCATAAATATTCTGAATTTATGTCCTATTCCTAAGTTAATTGGAGACATCAGCAGGTTGAAAGAATGCTTTTCCTTCTTGCAGAGAGTAAAACACATCAGTTCTAGTGTTTATTTTGCTTTATATACTTATAATTGTGGAACTAACAATTGGCCATAAATGATCCATAACAAAACATTACCCAGCTTTTAAATTTCAACCCCAGAACTGAAATACTGTTACAACACTGAAGCTGTTTGGATCCGACAGCAAAACAATCTGAAATTATCCCTGGTAAACACCTCAACTGCACCTTCAAACTCAGCAGAGTTTGTTTCCATTCTCTTTAGATTTCTCCTAACCTCTCTGTACTCCAATTCAATAGCTGAACTTCGTTAGGCTCATCTTTGGTGTACTTGAATCATGTTTTTTTTTGTACCATAGTTTTGTCCCCATACATTTGTGATCTGATTATTTGCTTGCTCGAGGCTCCTCTCTTTTTGCCCAGAATTTTAGCTGTCACTTGAAGAGGTCAAATAGATATTTGCTCTGTGATGCTTATTGTCTAACAATAACCTGAGACAGGTAAAGAAAGTTCTATGCATCCTTTTTCTGTTTGGTTTGCAATACAACAGGTTTGCTTTCTAGTTAATTATTCCTAATCCAGCTGGACAAAGAAAGAAAAACAAGAAAGCCTCCTGAAAGTTCACTCATTCTTGTCCACATTAGCTAAGAATAGCATAAATATTATACACTAAGAAGACGTATTTGCAAATGCAGTGATATGTGGGCACATAAGGGCTGTTGAGAGCTGCTTTCCTCCATCCTCCAAGTGAGAAAGGCTTCAGCCTGTGACTAGCAGAGGAATGCTTTCCAAAAGCTAGTAGCTAGCAACTAAAAGCTAGTAGCTAGCAACACCCATTTCCCAATTGCATGTGTAGCTTGACAGGAGGCACTCACCAGCACCCACGTCCTGTAATCACTCACAGAGCAGAATCCCTAAGAATTAGGTCTATATAGACTGACTTTCAGCTGTATCTCAGATACAGTATCCCAAATTTAAGAGCTTAACATCAATCTAATCACTATATTAAATGAACTGATAAATAAAAAGAAGCAATTATTTTAGCATGATATCTTGTCAGGTTTCTGATTACAAGATCAAAACCAAAGCAACTCTTGTTAAGAGACTTGCTCACACACAGTTCTTCAGTAATGCCCCAGCCCTTAAACCAAGGGTTGGAACTTGATAGAAGTACCCTGTTCTTTAAATAATACCCCCGGATGTGGATTACTTCCTTTGGCATCAACTTTGGAAGTATTTTTTCTACTTCCTCCTCCCTTTCAATGTCAGCAGGAAGACATCACCCACGTCTCTTCCTCCTGACAGGAAGTCTTTTGTACTGCAGTTTTAATGAGGCCCTCCTCCACAACCACTGTAGCGTACACTTGAAAATGCTCTCCTGACATTACAGTATTTCACATTATTACCACAAAAGCGTCACTTGTGCAATAGTTCTCTTAAACTCATTATCTTAAGTGTGTTATTTGCTTTATAAATTAATACGGTTGCTGAGAGTTGATAGTTGACCTGCTGTTTGCTGTGTATCAAATACCATTCCTTAAAGCAGATACCATCATAACTGGACCCAGTACTAACCTCAGGACAATCTAATTTCCATCCCTGTTTTCATGCAGCTAGTCACTCTTGGCTTTTTATACAACCATTGCACGGAGCAATATTCAGGAAATTATTTTCTATGCCTGCTGAGCCTTTTTTCTTCAAAGATGTCCTAACTTCATGTCCTTAAGAAGGTCATATTTATGAAATACATAATATTTCACAGGAAAACCAGAGTGATGATATGATTATTCTGCATTGAATCTCTCCATGTTAGTGGATGTGCTTGAATGCAATTTCCCAAAAGCCTTCATATTTTATAACTGAAAAACCTGAAGACTATAAGTAAGATTCAGCCTGTTGTTCACCAACAGACACTGAAACAACACTACTGAGCCTTTAAGTCCTTGCTCTTTGCTTAGAGTGGAATTCAGGAGGTTAACTAAAGCATGAACATACTACATAGCAGTATGTACTTGATAAGATTATGCTTTATTTATCCAATTATTGGCCTCCCTTTAGAATGAGTTTTCCTTGAAATGAGGCTCAATTTAATGCTTAGAATGTCTCACAGACCCTTTGAAGGGATTTTACTGTCTTTAAGAAGAGGGTTTCCAAGCTACCTTATGTATTTTGGGCAATGCCTGTGGGTTTACTCTTTCTCCCAGAATTCTCTAATGAATACAGAAGATCAAAATTTAGCAAAATATTCCAGATAAGGATAAGGACAGGATTTATTCCCAGTGGTGTCTTTAACATTTCTGTCCTAGATTAAACAGTTTGAGGCAAAGGCACTTTCTCTATTTCCCTTTAACATAATTTCATAGTCTATCAGCTCCATTAAAATACATTTTAGCTTTCTGTCTGAAGTAGCTTCCCTAATCTCAACCCAGTGTTTCTAGTTGTGTTTCCTTGCACCATGGTGAGTAATTAGTCCCCAGCTCCCACAGGCAGTTATACTGTCAGTGACTGTTTTGCCTACCTTCTACATCTGTAGACCCATTTTTTCTTTACAAGTCTCTTCACCCCTGCAATCTCTGTAGCCGTACCCCTTGCACAGGCCTTCACCAAATCGTGTTCCAGGTGTTGTTTCCTCAGATTAAATAAAGATCACCTCCTGATTCAAATCCTATCAGTGCAGCACTGCTGTTTGCTTTTGATAATGTATTGCATGTCAAATCCAGACATTTCTGTCTGTCTGCTGCCACCCCGTTAATCATTCTGACTTGTCTCTTCCAGTTGAAGAAAAAAAATCACATCAAAATTCTGACTTTCAGTTAAAGAAAAATTATGCAACAGAGCAGAAGTAAAAGCCACCGACCCAACAGAGCACGTGTCATCTTCCCAGCCTAAGATTAAACCTGCTATCAAAGGGTAAACCCTTAATGAATGTAAACTCTGATAGGCCCTACTGAAGATATCTTCTGACAGAGAATCTGTCCCCTCATTACTACTGCCCATTATGGGTTTGACAATCAAATGAAATTTAAACAAAGCAGAATATGTAATCAGTATCTACAGTGCACATTGAAAAGCCTCCAGCTTTCAGTTCCGAGCATTTAAATCTCTATTTTTTTCTCATTCATCACATTAAAACCTTTTTCCCCCGTGCGTGCTCCACAACAGTTTGAGCATTGCAGAGTTAAGAAAAACCAAGGCAGGAGTTTCTGACAGGTCTCTTTACCTGGAACTTCCTCATCTTCCAAAAGTTGCTGCAAACCTACTGTGTATTATTGAGGCCAGCACATTTAAAACAATTTTTCTCATGATTTAATTGCTATATTTTGCTTTAGCTCTGCTAGAGGGAATAGCTGATTCTTCTGGGCACTGTGCCCAGATTATGTTTAATTTTGTCTACAGATTGTACAGTTTCCCAGATACTATACCAGAGATGAGCATTTTATAAGTTAATGAAACAATAAATAAAATAAAATCTGTTCTTATGCCTCCACGTAATAACTGGAACCTTAAAAGCCTTGCCCTGTTTTATAGAAGCTTCTCTTTAGTACAGACAGTCACTAAAAATATCTCAAATTAAAGTGATGAAACCCCTAAAGGTAAATAATCCTACAGCAACACTTCAAATTGAACCTTAAACTTCTTAAGCAAATAGCTAAAATGAAGTTGCATTATGCATTCCTTACAATAAGAAGGGATCGGCTTGGATTCTACTCTTACATTTCACTCTATTTTTAGAACAAAAAGAGGAAGAAGAACTTACTGTGTATTCTGGTTCCCAATTGTCCAGTTGTAAATAAAAGCATGATGAGGGGGAAGAAAAAAAAGAAATATGAAAACTATGATATAAACAATGATACATGATCCCTACAGTCAACAGACATTAATATTAAAAAAGCCTCTGGGGTTTTCTTTTCCAGGAAGAAACAGCACAGATACAACACTCCAGTTTTTATCTACCCATATTCTATGATCTTTATTTCCGGGTATCAGTCAATATAAAATGGAAAATTATACACACTTCAACAGGAATTATTAAAGAAACTTAATACCTGTGGCTCAATATGGAACTTGGAGCTTCTGCAGATGAGCTAAAGCACAAGTCAGTAATCACTTCTTTAGTCCTTACCTGTGATTGTATAAGGATAATAATTCCAAGCTTTCTCTGTAACATAAAATATTTTGGGAACAACGGCTCTAGCCCAGCTAGGCAGTTTGCTGAAAATAGAAAGAAAATAGAAAATTAGAGAATGTGATGAGTTATGAGTCCTGCAGCAAAGCAGATAGGTGCAAACATGCTCATGTTGGAGAGGTGTTTCACAGGACACAGCAATACTGAGACTTCTCAGGATTTTCATCTCATGACTGTGCATTCTGTGTCAGCTTTCCCCACATGCACATATGAAACTCAGTCTGTTCCCCTCTCAAAGTGAGTGACACGGTGCCAGAGCAATAATATCTGATCACATTAAACTTTACATGTGCAGATGTCAAGAATCTGTGGCTTCAGCCCTTTGGTCATGGATGAACTCAGCAGGTTTGCCCATACAAGGTGTAACTGCGTCACAGCATCCCTAACCACAGGGAGGCACTCTCTAACAAGAGGTCATGAGTAAACATGGGATTGTAATCCACTTCAATCCCGGTTCCATTATTTCTTCTTCGAGACTGTTTCTTCTTCCTCCATATTCTTTGCCGCCACACAAACCCTTACGTTCATCTCACCTAGCATGCAGTTCTTCCCACATTACCAACACCAACTCTGAGTAGGAAGCTTTTGCATCAAAATTAAGAAGTCACTCAACCCCCCCCCCCCCCTTTGAGGCTGGTAGGTTTAGTCCCATTTTGCTGATGGGAAAAGCAAATCACAAAAGTGAAGAGAATTAATGGAACTGATTTCAGAGCTCAGAGCTCAATCTGACAGGAGAACTTGCCAGTGCAGTGGTACAACAACAGTAGAATAAGAAATGAAAGACATTGATACAGCACATGCAAAGATCATTAAAGAGAATTAAATAATACCATGGAAGAGGAGGAGCATTTGCTTTACCATGGATATCTGATCTCTCATTTCCAGAACTCTGGTCACAGAGTACAAAAGAAATGATGAACATACACATGTTTTAAGAAGGCAAGTTCATGATAATTCATCTTTCAACACTTCCTAATGACACCAATTATAATCACTGAAGCTGCTAGGAAAAGAGACGCAGAAGTAGTTCCCCAGAGGAAGGCAGAGCTTTGGAGACCACAATTATCACTGTATTTCAGATTAAAACCCTGTTCGTCTGGTGATGTGTCAGCCTAAAACTGAATCTTCACTGAACTAAAGTAAATGCCTCCACACTGCGATTTTTAAGCATCAATGTTTGAAACAGTTGTTCAGATAACTGTGCACAGGAAGTACGTTAACTTTCCCTGTTAGCAAATTTCTCAGAAAATAGAGTTTGGATCGTTGAGGTTTATTTAACCATGATTTAGCTACACATAAATATTTCATTTATTCCAGAGGCAAAATGCAGACGTTAGTACATTATCTAAAGATTCAAAGTCAAGTGCATTGACTTTTGCTCTTTGACGACACTGCTCAAAACCAGATTCTTTCCTTTATATAAGCCTTTCTTGTGTAGAGTCTCCCAAGCAGCATTTTACATACTGCATAATAGACTTCACTGTATCACTTCTTTTATTTAGGTTGTCAGCCTGTCAAGTGTCTCTTTCTGACTCTGCTGCCTCCCTTGCCCCTGCTACACTTCACTCTGATGCCTCAGTAATAAATACCAGAGGATGCAGACTTTCAGCTTCTGAAAACAATGCTCCAGCAGAGAGAAGAGGCAGTAAACAATTCTAAATATAACTCCAGCTCACACTGACACTAGAAAATTTCACTGGCAATGTCTTTGTTAACATACAGCTGCTCATTTGGCATTTTCTTTGGTTATTGTTTTTACTGTATTTGCCTGTCTACCTATCTTCACCGGTACAGCACATCTCCAAAACAAATAATTTTATGAGCAAAACACACATTATACTCAGAGTTGCCAGGAAGTCACAGCCACAAGATACACACAAATTGTTCCAAGAGCTCACTCAGAGAAAGAAAATATAATACTTCTATTTTAGCAGCACCGGTATCTGTGGATCACATTATCTTTTATTATTATTATTATATCCTCCTTCCCAGATGAAATTCAGTCTTTCAGCATATAGAGAGGAAGTGTTGAACAAGAAGCCCCTCTGCAAAAATTGAAGCATTAGCAGGCAAGAAAAGATAAGTTAAAATCATGCACAAATTCTTCCAAAAACCATCACTGAAATATATAAACTCAAATTTCTCCAGAATAGATCAATTCAGGGCAAAATAAAGCGACGCAAAGCTAGCAAGTTTATTACAGCAGTGACCCCTGGAAGAAGAAGAATAAGGGAGAGAACAGTGCTGCTCTAGGGAGTCCTGCTGCTCAAGGAAGACAGGCAGAGAAGTTTTCAGCACATCTTGTATGGCAGCATGTCTTCTTGAGTGAAGTCTTCCAGAGAGATCCTGGCTTCCCAGCAAAATCCATAGTTGCCTGGAAACCTGCTGATCCTTCCTACAAAGCTTTAACAGTACTGCAATATCTGGTGGTGTCAAGGAGTATTCATAGTCATCATGAAACCCAGGGAGCCTGACTTCAAACATCCACCACAGCTTTAGGTAAACTTCCTAAGCTGTTGTAGCCACACAGATCGGTGTCAGTGTTGGTACCTGTCTTTGGGTAAGAGATCCTTTGTTCCATTGCCTGCCAGAAACTTCAGGCTTCCTCAGCACGTCCTGTACATGCAGTCTAGGACACAGTCCTCCAGTTACTGTGAATTACCTCAAAGTGTAATTCTGACCATGCTCTTCAGTGCTTAAACCCTGCTCTCTAACATGAAGGAAAGAAATATCCAGAAACATCCAAAAACTCCTACAATTTCTGTGAGCTCTACAACACGAACACATTGATTGATTTTTCCCAAGTCCTTTATCTAGCCTGTGAGAGAACAGATTAAATGTTGGCAAGATGCACATTACTGGACATGTGTGTGTGCATACAACATTAGTGGTGATTCAGTCTAGCCCGTTAGATATGTCAGGTTTGCAGTGGAGAAGTAACTTATAATACAGAAGCAATAGCTGTAGTGTTTCCCTGCTCACTATGAAATGCTGCTGAGCATAAGTTTAATAAAACAAAACAGGCCCAGAGGGAAAGAAGAACTTCAGAAAAGCAGAGATATTCAATTTGATCAGCAGTAGCACAACCAGGAACAGATTGAGCAATATATTTCATAGGACACAAATATATATATATATTTTCATATATATGTAAAAATAAAAAATCTCTGGCCTGTGAGTGTGGCATTGATCCTCAGCAGTATAACTCAGCAGTATAATTTCACCATAGGAAGAGACACATTTCACTTTAAGAAATGATGGAACTTTGGGGAAACAAAAGTGCGTTCTTCCATCATGTCTTCAACCCTATTATTTTGGTACAGAAGACCGTCATGGTACCGGCCTAATGGTCATTCATGAGCTCAAATAACTCTGCTGAGGCAAATCTCTGGTCACCAAAAAAATGGGATACTGACTTTGTGACATTACTGTAAGGATAGAAACCCTTAAACCATTTTAATGGCTGGGTTTTGTTGGTTTTTTTTTGAGGGGTAGGGTGTTCATTGGTTTTGGTTTCAGGTTTTTTCCCCCAGTTTTGGGAAACAAAATGACAGACAGTTAAGTGTAAAAGAAACAGGAAGGCTGTTGCCTGGAAGGGGTATCCCTTGCTAATTTTTATTACAGCTCATGCCAAGAGAAACAGCTTTATTGCACTTGCCTGTTGAGATAGACACGTTTTTCTGTTAGCTGACCATTGCCATGGTTTGGATCTTCATAGGGTTCATTGTGCACCACTTCCACACCTTCACCTCGGTCGCTCTGCTCATGGCTATGCTTGCTTATCATGTACAGCTGGCCAATTCTGTACTGTAAATCAAAAACAAGAACAATGTATTGGCTTTATGTAATAGACGTGTATTCAAAAGCCAATGTCATACAATGACACAGCGGTATGTGCAAATAAAAGCTCAAGGGCAAAACCCAGCATTTTGCAGCTCCATTTAGACCTATATAGGAGTTCCCCCATTGGCTTATTAAGTTCAAGATGTCACTTGGAAAAAATAACAAACCCCACGTATATACAGACGTAAAGAGTCAGGACAGTCCTTTATTTTAGACTGCATTTGTAAGTATTCATCTGCTGCTTCCACGTGCCGACATGTCAGCGGATTTTAACCAGTGGGTGAACTCTAATAGGTCTGTGGGACACGGGATTCTCCTGTCATGCCAACAGGATGCTAAATAATGAAGCCCTGTAAAAACATATGTGATAACTACTGCTAGTTCACAGAAACAGGAGTGCTAGAAAAAAACCCACATAGACTCCAGGCTGTTAGAAAAAACCCACATAGACTCCAGGCTGTTAGAAAAAACCCACATAGACTCCAGGCTGTTAGAAAAAGAAGTTGGAGATGAGTGATTTGGCAATATTATTAAGATTAATTTAAGCACTTAAATGATCCTTTTTCTATAGACTCTCCAGTTACTCAGGAAGCCAAACCCTAGGAGAGTTGACCGAATGCTGCTATCATAAGAAAATAAACTTATATGGGCAATTGATTTTTCTCTCAGTATATCTGCATCTACAGCAGGGCTTTGGCCTTCAGAGAAATATACAGAAAGTACATCCTTGAACCTTTATTAGCAAAGATTTCAGAGTAAAACTGTACCTTTCCCATACATGTTCTTTGCAGATATTTAGTGCTTAAGTCCCTTCTACATTCTTGAATGTACCACAGTTCTTACAACTGCCCTTGGACCTATCTAATCTCTCCATTTGGATCTTTCTCTCTCCCAGAGTAATTTATTTCCGCATATATGTATAGTATATGTATGCTGATCACTTCAATCACATCAATCACATCAAATACAAAGAGCAACCTGTTAATCTAGAAAATGGCTGAGCTACTGCTCAAGCTGCCAAGTACTAGCTCAGCATAAGCAAACAAAAGCATAGTAACAGTCTGACCTCAGAAAATGAGGAGATTCTTGTGGTTATTCCATGTTGTAAACAGCAATCCTATCACGTACTTTAAAAAGCCCAAAAAGCTCAAATCAAAAGAGCAATTAGCTGGGAAAAGACCCCCAAACCATACAGACCTTATTAACAACTGCCAACAAGGCAGTTTGACTAAACAAAATGATAAGGATGGGCTCCCTACCGAAGTTCTGGAATTCCACATAACTCCATTTCATTCCCCTGCTGCAGGCAGGCCACAACAAGGACCATTCTACCTGGACAGGGATTTCCCTTCTCCTAGCACTGAATGGACACCTCCTTCCTCACCAGCCACACACTGGGACAGAGAAGCAAATGATTTGCATCAAAAAAGTCTCTTTCAGCTGACAATTCCAAAGTACTAAGAATGCCTCAAGTTTATATAAAGGTTCTTTAAGGGCAAAAGGTTGCTCTAGGGGAAGGGTGATGTAGCTTGGATCTATTTTCTTTTCCTCTTATCTAATAAGGTAATTTCAGCGGGTTTCTTTGCATTATTTTTCCTCCAACATCTCCTCACAGTGAAGAACAAAACCCACTCTGAAAACTTGTTTGAACTAGTGAAAAAGAGGACTAGAGGGAAAAATGAGGAAAGATACAGTTGTCCTAAAGCTGTCAAATGTCATTCGGGTCAGGCCAATTAATTGTGTGACCCCTGTAACATTTGCAAAAGACCAGTAAATCTCTACATCTACGCACATTGGAAGTGCCTGGAAATTTCAGTGTTACTTATGCTCAGAGTGTTTCTTCCTCTGCTTTCTTCTCATGAGAGAGAATTGATTTATTTTTTTTTAATTAGAATGATCATTCTTTCTCTTTATATCCTATGTAACTTTGGAGAATCTACTCTTTCACTACCAGAAACGTTCCTAAGATATTCAGTAAAATGGTAAGTGGAATAATGCTATTTAAACCATTTGCTGCTGGCACAATCTCCTGTCTACATATTCAGCTTTCTCATCCCTGGTACCTCTTTCACACAAAATGCCCTCAGTTAAGTGATAAATCCTAAAACTCTTTTTCTTGCTAATCCAGTTATCTACCTTAGTCTCTACTGAATCCTTTACTTCTCCATCTCATCGTATTTGAGTATTTTGTCTTAGACTTCGAGGCTCTGAAGAGCACAAGTCCTCACACACACCTTTTAACTAGTTCCATGAGAATTCATCGTCTCTTTTTCCCTAACAATAAATGAATGCATTGGTACACAGGCAAAGTTTGTGGACAAAAGGTAGTGTATTTTATTTGATCAACTAGTACAGTTGAGAAAAGGATAACTTTCAGGCCCATAAAGCTGTTCTTCAGGTCTGAAATCAAAGCAACGTACTTCAAAGCTCAATGCAAGCTGAGAAAACATGCTTTGCCTTTAATTAGATATGTATCAATTAGACCTGACAGTAAAGATACTGCCTGTGGAGTGATAAGGATGTTAGAAAAGAGGAAAGGTGATAAGGTGCTTATCTGCTAATGGAAAGAAAGAAATCAGTAATTTATAGCCTGTGGAATATGAAAAAAGTAGGTGAGGAGAGGGGAGAGGAACTACAATTTGCCATAAAGCCAGTATTTCGAGATACCTATTGAGATTTTTGCTGTGCCATGAAGTTATGACTTCTAGTTGCCATGGACATCTCTGGGAATCACTTCATAACTGCACATATCACTGCATGTTTTGATTTCTTACTTCTGTGTAGTCCTTTGCAATTTTGCTCTCAGTTTTAATGGCCAAATACAGACATCTTAGTTTCTGCTGGAAATGCTGGCTCAGAAGACTCAAGATGAGTGTACGGTCACGCTGACACCTAATAAGGGGGCTTTACTAAAGCATTCATTTGCTCCAGCACTATGAATCAGAGATATCCACCTATAACAACATCATGTTTTGCTAACACAGATTGTTGTTCTTTCACGGACGCACACTACCATAAAATCACAAAGGCTGTAAATCCACCTGAGCACCTGGTTAAGAGTGGGTAGCTGCACACCCACCGCACTCCTCAGATGATGATCAGCGCTGTCAAATAGAAATTGCTTTACAGATGTTGCACAACCAGTGCTTAAAGAAAGGTTCTACTTTTGTGATGTGACTCAAAATCATACACACCTCAATTATACCTAAGATCTGACAGAAGGTACCCAAGGCAGCTTAGCATGGTGCTTCTCACTTGGAAGATGCTGGGGAAAACAGAAGGTACCACCACTAGCGCTGGACAGCTCTTCTGTAGGAATCTACTGCTGCCCACCCCTCCCTAGGCAATGACTTTCCAACGACAGATCCAACACCAGTCAAGTGGAAATACCCACCTTTCATAACCAGTGAAATGACTGCACTGTCTGCTTGAAAGCAGTTCTTTTTGCAAAAGAGACATACTTTTACATGTCCTTTAAAGCAGCTAACTCAGCTCTCTTGGGTGCTGGTCATTTGGTTTTATCTGCTTCATGAAATTTTAATCTATCTTTCAGAAAATCCTGAAATTTAAATGCCTGGGGAAAAAAGTCACAGATTTTTCTAACTTCCTATCAATAGTGTGGAAAAATAACACTTTACAGCAGTAAACACTACTCGTTATTCCTGTAAGGATGAGCTGACATGCCACTTTTACTTATGTTGCTCTATTACAATCTGAATTCCTGTGTTCTTAGCTGTAAGGTACTGTTTCAAGGAAATCAGTAAAATTTCATGCAGTGGCACCTGATCTGAATTTGGCTCTGGAGAAAAGCTCTTTGTTTAAAACCAATTTAGTATGGGGAAATGACCTTAATATCAAAGGAAGCACTTCAATAGACAACTGCACTGCATGTAGAGTTCTGAAGACATTGCTACCTAGCAGACTCGATGCTTCTCAACTCCTAATGAGTAGACATTGTCTCAGTGCTGACTTCTCTCTTCCTTCAACAGGCAGATGGTGTTTGCCTATTGGGGGTTTATTCATACAAACCCCGAGGTTTATGTTTGCAACAGCATAATGATGGACAACCTGATTTTGTTTAAAATTATAAATCGAGACCAGAGGCACTTTTTTAGTGTTCTTGACATAGGAGGGGAAAAAAAGGAAAAGAAAATAACAGGGAGTCCACCCTGCACACCCTTTATTTGTAGAACTCCCATAATCTTCAGCAGGAGCTGCACAAGAAATCTTTGTAAAAACATGTCTGAATATTTTTCAGCCTGACTGATTATTGCTGAGTTTTTAATCTAATGCTAGTCTTGGAGTACAACCTTTGCAACTTTATGTGGAATGTAACAGTAACATTCTCTCAAAGGAGAAATTACTCCAAAGCTATGCATGACCTGAAATTTTTATACCATTCCTTGATGTTCTTACCTGAATGCTCACAGAAAATGTAACAGATTTCTTGTTGGCTTCATCTTATATGTCAATTCTCACATTCAAAAGAACTGTTGCACCTTTTCATCTACATTTACTTTTCTATAACTAAACTAAACCATCAGGGATGGTGCTGCCATTTCAATTTCTGCAATTTACTCTCCTAAGTCAGTAGTGAGATCCCTCCCTGCAGTTAGAAGCTGGAGTCCAGAAGATGCCAGATGTGGTTTATACCTATTCAAGGTAATGACTGTTCAGCACACTGCATTTTGACAATGGAAAATATATCTCACACAGTGATTCATGCTTAAACATGTCAGTAGCTTCTAGTCCTGACCTCAGAAAACTGCAAAGGTAAAACAGGAAAAAAAGAAGAAAACCATCACCAGCTAAAGTGAAACAGATCTGTGCTTATGCACAAATGTGCTCCTTCACAGAGGAAGATATAAAGAGCAAAATCCTGTCTCTACTGATGGCAATAGGTGCTCTGTCACTGACCTCCATTTAGTAAAGATTTACTTCTAGCAAGAAAATCTAATGAATCG